GGCCCTTTTTTATTTTCCATAACAACACGAGCACTAAATTATAGCTGTGCAATTATGTAAACAATGGAAATGCTTCCAGAATGAATCCTTCCTTTTAAATTTTCATTTTGTGTAATTGTTGGAAGGTTTGGAGCCATAATAAACAAAATTATTTTACACATTTATCGTTCTAAAGGTCAATTATAAGAGAACTAAAGAAACAGCACTATGCAAAATGAATAAACCAATTTCTGTTGCTATCACCATATGTTTTTCTTATCACTTATGGTTTTTCCAGTTGCTGTGTACATAGCATTCAATTAAAGCGATTCATTTACTAGGCTGAATGCGGTTCGTGTTTATAGAACTGTGCTTTGGAGGGGAGGAAGCAACACGCCTCTGTTTGAATTACCTGATTTTTTGTAAGATCAGCGATAAGAGACAGATGCTCCTACCAGTTCCTTTCCCATAAACCTGAATCTGTGGATAAGCCGTACATCCATAATCATCATCTTACAATCTAGTTTTCATACTCAGTGTAGCATGTGTGTGGACTTTTAACCAAAAAAGAGAGGAAAATACTAGTTTAAAGGTCTGTTCCTCCTCCTACAGCTTTTTGCAGATTGAATTTGCTTTCCTTTGAACAAAAGCATGTGAAAGAGTTTCATGCTGGTCAGTTTTCAAGAATAAACTTCATTCCTATTTTAGACCCCATTTTTGATTCAGCTTATTGTTTTCCTTATTATTTTCAGTCCGTTTAAAAATGTGGAAAAGAAACTAATTTTTGCTATCAGACTCACTTGATTGGGGTAAACTCTAGAACTCCTTAGAAGAGTGGGCTCTAGCAAATCTAAAAAAGAGCTTTTCCCATTTTTATTTCATCATTTGCCCTGTGAATTATATACACTTTGGCTGGTTGCTGTAACAGTTTGCTAAGGATATTATTTAAGAGCATTAATTTGTATTTTTTTTAACTTCTGGGAGAATGTAATCTAAGAGGCTTTGGGAGCCACCTTTGAAATGTTTTAAAAAGCTCTTTCTGAGCATCTGCAAAATAGTAGTTCACTGAATTCTACAAAGTAAATTACAGAAAATAAAAAATCCTTCATAGTCCTTCCCTTATGTTTTTGTTTCACTTACTTCTGTGTGACCCTTTCCAGTTTACAAAGGCATGTATTCACATCTTTCCTGATACATTTAAGTCCAGGGGAAATCAGCCCCTGCTTGGAAGAGAAACCAGAAGTTCTCAGCACAATGTGATCTGTCCACGACGATGTGCAGGGGGCCTTGACCCCAGACCTGGGACTCTTTTTACGCTGCCAGAGTCTGACTGCAGAACAGGGCCATATCCCACAAAGGAGGAGGCACGGAATAGCCCTGAGTCGCACCCTAGGAGCCGTTGCACTGGCTCTGCCAGCTCTGTAACTCCCAGTCAGGAGTTGGGTCAGGAACTGGATCAGGGACAGAATTCTCTCTCCGCCCAGGATGCAAACCACGCTTTTAACAGGGAGAGTCTGCATCTGACTGAAACCTTTGGCAAAATTCAGTATCCTTGGTTCACTATAATTGTACTGATTTAAGGGTTATTTCCTATTTATGACATAGGCTGGGGCTTCCCATGGGTGGCGCAGTGGTAAAGAATCTGCCTGCCAATGCAGGAGTTGCAGGAGACACAGGTTTGATGGGTCAGGTAGATACCTTGGAGTAGGAAATGGCAACCCACTGCACTATTTTGGCCTGGGAAATCCCATGGACAGAGGAGGCTGGTGGGCTCCATGGGGTCTTAAAGAGTCAGACAGAACTGAGCAACTGAGCATGCACACACACACATGCATGACACAGAATACTGGCTTTCCAGAACATTCTTATTTACATGGGGATAAAAAAGTGAGTTCCTTTTTAAAAAACGACATAGTGTTCTCTCTGGACTTGAATATGACCAAAAAAACATGAGGGTTGTATGTGTATAATTGGTGTTTGAGAAGCACTGTCTTGTCTGGTCTCTGCGAAGGCCTGCTGACTGACTGGAAAGTTTCAGTCTCAGGATTTTCATCTTTGCAAAGACCGCAGCTATCACTGTGCTCGGGGTGTGTGGAGAGGAAGGCGAGAGGGGGCTCTTCCCGGAGATGGCCAAAGTACTGGGTAGACCCCATTCTTTCCGGGGAGGTGCAGCTGCTGTCCTTCTAGCATCCCAGTTATTCCTGATTGCAGAATGTCGTCACTAAGATGTAGTCTTCAGGCTGTTCCATTTCAGTGTGGGTAAGCGGAATAAGCCAGCATATGGCCCTAACTTGGCCAACTGGCCGCACAGTCCCCCCCTTTAACCCCCACGTTAACCCTGGCCCAGCACTGCTGTATCTGGCGGCTTCGCTTCTCCTGGGGGCCGCCTTCCGTGGGTGGTGGGCAGGCCAGGCCAGCCATCTGTCATCTTGCCCTCTCTTTCCAATCTTCTTGCCCATAGAAACAGGTTCCGTTGAAGAGCCTGGCTGCAGTCCAGGGGGTGGGGAGCCTGGGACTTGATCTTGCCCACACCTCTGCCGTCTTCAGCACTGGTGGCAACTTAGTTTTTGGAATGCCCCATTTGCAGCTTGTTGCCCTGACACGCCTGAAACTTGTGAAGTGAAAATGGATTTCATGTATAAATTCTTGCTTTAGCTTGTTAAAGGATTTTGTTCCTAATTCCCATAAACTCATCCGAGAAAACCCTTTTTTAAAAATTAAACCTCTCAACTCCAGTGGTTTAAAAAAAAAAAATCTGTGATTTAAGTATGTGCTAAAGATGTTAAAAATCCACAGAGATCAAGGCTGAGTTCCTCCTCTCAACAGATGGAATGAAGGCAAACCTAACCAAGTTAACATCATGGTTGTTTGCATTATTAATCTTCCCATGCATGGCATTCTGCTACCTTGCAAGCCAGGTTTGCACGAATCCTTTCGTGGCAGCAGATGTCAACAGAAGAGTGCTTCCATCTGCTGCCTGAGACGTTGATGCCTGATACCCCTCGACAAGGCCCAGCGCAGAGTGTACCTCTGAGTAATTACAGGTGTGTGGTGAGGAGCCCAGGGCATTAATCAGAGGCTTCATTATGAAAAAGGTGGATCTTTTGTTCTGCTCCTGGAGCGAGAGTTGACCACACACTTTCTAAACTGCAGTGTCCATCTGCTCAGCTCCTAGAATGTTTGCCTTGGCTGATGTGGACACTGAAACGTATCAAAGGACGTGATTACAGCAGGTTTAAACATTAACCCGGGAGAAGCGTGGTTCGGGTTTTTCTTTCCTTTCCTCCTTCCTTCCTCCGTTTTATCTGCTTATTTATCTGTTTGATCTCTCTATTTTTCAGTATAGGAAAACGTCTGTTGAAATGCTAAAACCTTGCATTAGTAGTTGTGAAGTAATTTGCCATATAAGAGTTTTAATAGAGTAGGCACTGCACAGTCATTTTTAAAGGACATAAACATAATGATTTGTAGACACTGAGTGAGCTGACTGTGTAAGGAAGAAACCATAGAAAAACGTTTTGTGAACACAGGAAAATTTTCTTTTACCATTACAAGTTTTTCACTGAGGTTATTTTTATTATAAAGCACTTAACCTGTTAGGATGTAGCACATTGCTGCTCCTTTACTCTGATTTAATCAAGTTAAATCGGGATTATCTTAAGGATTTTCAAATAGCCACCCTGAAATTTGAGGACGGTTTGGGGGACGTTTTTTGGTGTGTTTTTCTTCTTACTCCTACTTTTGGGGACTAATTCTAGGTTATGTAACTGCAAGTCACATACCTGTAGCACTTCAGTACATTTGATGAATGCACTTGGCCTAGAACAGCATGAGAACAGTTGTGGTTTTCTTACTAATCCTCTTTGCACACACTCACTCACACAGATGGCTTCAGAGATGTGGCCCAGCCATGGATGACAGGAATGCCGTCCAGGAGGGGAGCAGCGGTCTGCCATGGGCTGGAATGGGGTGTCAGTCTCAGAACAGAGCTGGCGGGCAGGAGCCAGCTGGCCACCCACCAGTGAGAGGCCTGGTGTCTAGGGGAGATTGTCTGCTTGCTGCACCGGGCACAGCTGCCTCACCATCCACTTCTACCCAGAGCATTGCCCACCGTGTGATCCATCCCAGCGGGACCCCATACCCCCTCCATTCCCACTGTTTGAAGTTTCCATCTCTGCCAACTTGAGGAGTTTGTCATAGAACAGTGTGCTTTGACTTTCATGAACTGAAGAAGTTGAGAATTGACAGCTGCTTGCAGGTTTCATGTATTTATCTACTTCCACACTCCTCAGATGGTAACGAGTCCGCCTGCAATGCAGGAGACCCGGGTTCAATCCCTGGGTCAGGAAGATCCCCTGGAGGAGGGCATGGCAATCCACTCTAGTATTCTTGCCTGGTGAATCCTGTGGACAGAGAGGACTGGTGGGCTACAGTCCATGGGATCGCATAGAGTCAGACACGACTGAGAAACTAACACACAACCCACACAGACATTCCTGTAGCTCGTCCAGGGAGCTCGCCTCCGCATGGAAAAGGCAAAAGCATCTAGTCCCAATGCCATGATTTAGATCTTAGACAAGTCACCCTATGAACGGTTTAGCATCTCCATTCTCTTACCTGTGAAATGAATACAGTAGCCCTGGACTAACTCCTCTCCTAGAACCTTTTTCACTGAAAAAGTTCCATGAGTCTGTGTTCTCTTATATAATCACACAGTAGCCTTATGTATCAGGCTTCCCTGGTGGCTGAGCCATAAATACTCCACCTGCAGTGCAGAAGTCACAGGAGACACGGACTCGATCCCTGGGTCAGGGAGATCCCCTGGAGGAGGGCAAGGCAACCCACTCCAGTGTTCTTGCTGGAAAAATGCCATGGACAGAGGAGCCTGGCAGGCTACAGTTCATAGTGTTGTAAAGGCTCAGACACAACTGAAACAGCCCAGTCGTATGTGCACATGAACTGATGACTTTGGAATTGTGGTCTTGAAAGTTACAGTGGTGTTTTCTTCTCTTCCCTTCTAGGATATCCTAAACACCATCATAAGGCACTGCCCGCCCCGCTTCTTCTCCTTGGGTTTGCCTGGCTTCTCCATGCTGGTGGGGGACTTCATCACGGCCGCTGGCAGGGTCCTCAGTGCAGACACGCTGGCGGTGAGTGTGACAATGCTCAACACCCGGCTCCCAGGAGGCTTCCCAGTGGCTAACAAGGTTCAGATTTCTCCACTCCTAACAGGTGTTGACTCATTAGTGCAACGTGAAACCAGGCTCTCGGGTAGATGCCCTGGCAGCTGATGTGTGAAATTGTAGGATAAGATGACACGCTGGTGGTGGAAAGGCGTTTCATCAAAAGGCCAGAGTGTGAGAAATCATATCCTCACTAATATCTCAGCACATTTGCACGGTGAGAAGCAGGACTTGCCTCCTAGAATCTCATTAGCATTTTTCAGTAAATGGTGGCACAGACATGGATATCTGTGGTTAAGGGAGAATCTTAAGTGTACATCCTCAATGAAGCTTTTTTCTGTTACTAAGTCTTATTGTAAGTCTAATAGAAAATATTTTCTTAAAATATAAACTTAGAACTTTAAAATCTTGAACCGAAAAATTGATATGTATCTTTTTATTCATATGGCTTAAAACTCAGGCAGAATTCTTATACTAAAAAATTAGAAGCTAGTGTACTAAGTGAGCGTTAAGGGCTACAAAAAGAATTTATTTGTAACCTCAATGTTTACCTCCTAATACTGTTATTATTAGGGCAAGGTATTAATGCTTTTGAGTGAACACTGTTACCTGTTTTAGTTGAAAGGCTTTCACATCTGTACTCTGTACACATCTGTGTTCTGTATGGCTGTTACCTGTCCAGATCCATTTTTCTCCTCTTCAAATGGCTTTCCTGGTGGCTTAGATGGTAAAGTGTCTGCCTGCAATGTGGGAGACATGAGTTCCATCCCTAGGTCAGGAAGATCCCCTGGAGAAGGACATGACAACCCGCTCCAGTACCCTTGCCTGGAAAAGCCAATGGATAGAGGAGCCCTCTAGACTACAGTCCATGGGGTTGCAGAGAGGTGGACACGACTTCAATTCAAATGATGTAAATAAATTAATTTTGATGTTTGTCATGAACTGGTATTAAAATCAATGTGAGTATCCAGCTGCCTAAGTTTTTTTTGATACATTGTTACTTTTCATTCTCCGTATTTCTTTTTCTCAGGGCAAATTCAAACTCCAGCCCTGGATTTTAAATTAAATTGTTTCTTAGTACTTTGTATCACTGGTATTTCATGCTGGCACTTTCATGCAATTTTTCTTATAGGGATAAATTAAAAAGCAAAGGGGAGGGAAGAGAGATGAGAGCAAAAAGGAAGGATGAGTGGAAAGATGTAAGGAAAATGTTGAATTTAACTTTTTTTGGTAAAGATTATGACAACTTTTCATACTTATTTCTGAAAAAGATTATAGGATAATCATTCATGAATAATCTCCTAACATACTTTTAATCATTCAAATCAGCATTGAAAAATCTTTGGAAAAAAATTGAAAAACTTTTGGGGAAAAAAAGCATTGGAAAAAGAGAATAGAGGGAGGAAAATCATACATTATTGAAATTTTATTTACTTGCTCTGAGAGATTCCTGTGAAAATACAGGTGCCCTTTCTAGTGATAATTTCATGCATGGTGGTCATTCTCAGTGAAAATTTATCTTTTGGCTAGATGAGTTATTAAAGTAGCCTTCCAAAATATTTTTTAAAGAGAAAGAGAGAAAATATGAGAATGTGAATGTAAGAGTTACATTGCATAAAGAGACAGTACCTCTTCAAATTGCTTTGAATGACTGCAGCTTATTAATAACACTTAGGTAAAATGATGACTCTATCGGTAAAGAATCCACATGCAATGCAAGAAACCTCCTGCAATTCAGGAGAAACAGGTTCGATCCCTGGCTTGGGAAGGTGCCCTGAAGAAGGAAATGGCACCCCACTCCAGTATTCTTGCCTGGAAAATCTCACGGATAGAGGAGCCTGGTAGGCTATAGTCCATGGGGTAACAAAGAGTTGGACATGACTTAGCAGCTAAATCACCACCATCACAATCTTAGTTTAAACTACAGAGTGAAGTAAGCCAGAAAGATAAAGACCATTACAGTATACTAACACATATATATGGAATTTAGAAAGATGGTAACGATAACCCTATATGCAAAACAGAAAAAGAGACTCAGATGTATAGAACAGACTTGTGGACTCTGTGGAAGGAGGCGAGGGTGGGATGTTTCAAGAGAACAGCATCGAAACATGTATATTATCTAGGGTGAAACAGATCACCAGCCCAGGTTGGGTGCATGAGACAAGTGCTCGGACTTGGTGCACTGGGAAGACCCAGAGGGATAGGGCGGAGAGGGAGGTGGGAGGGGGGACCGGGATGGGGAATACATGTATATCCATGGCTGATTCATGTCAATGTATGACAAAAACCACTGCAATGATGTAAAGTAATTAGCCTCCAACTAATAAAAATAAATGAAAAAAAAAAATAAATAAACTTGAGGTTTAAAATCATAAGGGAACCAGTGAGAGGTGTTTGGATGGGGCCACAGCTGCTCAGTCAGAATTTTGAGTTAACACAAGTCAACTGTTTCCTCTGGAGGACACAGAGGTGGAATGACACGGTGTCTTGAATTTGCTTTATTGAAAGTAGAAACTTTTTTAAAGTTTGTTTTTTTAATTTTTAATATGGGCCATTTTTTAAGCTTTTATTGAATTTGTTACAATATTGCTTCTGTTTTGGTGTTTTTGGCCACAAGGCATGTGGGGTCTTAGCTCCCCAACCAGGGATCAAACCTGCACCCCCTGATTTGGAAGGCAGATTCTTTTTTTTAATTAATTAATTTATTTCAATGGAGGCTAGTTACAGTATTGTGGTGATTTTTGCCATACGTTGACGTGAATCAGCCATGGGTGTATATGTGTCCCCTGGTCCCGAACCCCCCTCTCTATCCCATCCCTCTGGGTTGTCCCAGTGCACTGGCTTTGAGTGCCCTGTTTCAGGCATTGAACTTGGACTGGTCATCTATTTCCCAAATGGTAATATACTTGTTTCAGTGCTGTTCTCTCAAATCATCCCACCCTCGCCTTCTCCACTGAGTCCCAAAGTCTGTTCTTTACATCTGTGTCTCTTTTGCTGTCCCGAATGTAGGGTCGTCGTTATCATCTTTCTAAATTTCGTATATATGCATTGATACACTGTATTGGTTTTCTTCTTGCTGACTTACTGATACACTGTATTGGTTTTTTTTCTTTCTGACTTACTTCACTCTGCATAATAGGCTCCAGTTTCATCCACCTAATTAGAACTGACTCAAAAGCGTTCTTAAAAGCTGAGTAATATTCCATTGTGTATATGTACCACAACTTTCTTATCCATTTGTCTGCTGATGGACATCTAGGTTGCTTCCATGTTCTAGCTATTGTAAACAGTGCTGCGATGAACACTGGGGTACACAGGTCTCTTTCAATTCTGGTTTCCTTGGTGTGTATGCCCAGCAGTGGGATTGCTGGGTCATATGGAAGTTCTATTTCCAGTCTTTTAAGGAATCTCCACACTGTTCTCCGTAGTGGCTGTACTAGTTTGCATTCCTACCAACAATGTAAGAGGGTTCCCTTTTCTCCACACCCTCTCCAGCATTTATTGTTTGTAGACTTTTTCATAGCAGCCATTCTGACCGGCGTGAGATGGTACCTCATTGTGGTTTTGATTTGCATTTCTCTGATAATGAGTGATGTTGAGCATCTTTTCATGTGTTTGTTAGCCATCTGTATGTCTTCTTTGGAGAAATAAATGTCTGTTTAGTTCTTTGGCCCATTTTTTTGATTGGGTTGTTTATTTTTCTGGTTTTGAGCTGCATGAGCTGCTTGTATATTTTTGAGGTTAATGTCAGTTACTTCATTTGCTGTTATTTTCTCCCATTCTGAAGGCTTTCTTTTCACCTTGCTTATAGTTTCCTTCCTTGTACCAAAGTTTTTAAATTTAATTAGGTCCCATTTGTTTATTTTTGCTTTTATTTCCATTACTCTGGGAGGTGGGTCATAGAGGATCTTGCTCTGATTTATGTCAGAGAGTGTTCTGCCTATGTTTTCCTCTAGGAGTTTTATAGTTTCTGGTCTTACATTTAGATCTCTAATCCATTTTGAGTTTATTTTTGTGTATGGTGTTAGAAGGTGTTCTAGTCTCATTCTTTTACAAGTGGCTGACCAGTTTTTCCAGCACCACTTGTCAAAGAGATTGTCTTCTCCATTGTATATTTTTGCCTCCTTTGTCAAAGATAAGGTGTCCATAGGTGCATGGATTTATCTCTGGGCTTTCTATTTTCTTCCATTGATACATATTTTTGTCTTTGTGTCAGTACCATACTGTCTTGATGACTGTAGCTTTGTAGTATAGTCTGAGGTCAGGCAGATTGATTCCTCCAGTTCCATTCGTCTTTCTCAAGATTATTTTGGCTATTCAAGGTTTCTTGTATTTCCATACAAACTGTGAAATTATTTGTTCTAGTTCTATGAAAAATACTGTTGGTAGCTTGATAGGGATTGCATTGAATCTATAGATTGCTTTGGGTAGTATACTCATTTTCACTATATTGAATTCTTCTGATATATTTTCCCATCTATTTGTGTCATCTTTGATTTCTTTCACCAGTGTTTTATAGTTTTCTATGTATAGGTCTTTTGTTTCTTTCGGTTAATTTATTCCTAAGTATTTTATTCTTTTCATTGCAATGGCGGGTGGGATTGTTTCCTTAATTTCTCTTTCTGTTTTCTCATTGTTAGTGTATAGGAATGCAAGGGATGTCTGTGTATTAGTTTTATATCCTGTAACTTTACTATGTTTGTTGATTAGCTTTAGTAATTTTCTGGTGGTGTCTTTAGGGTTTTCTCTGTAAAGGATCATGTCATATGCAAACAGTGAGAGTTTTACTTCTTCTTTTCCATCTGGATTCCTTTTATTTCTTTTTCTTCTCTGATTGCTGTGGCTAAAAATTCCAAAACTATGTTGAATAGTGGTGGGGAGAGTAGGCACCCTTGTCTTGTTCCTGACTTTAGGGGAAATGCTTTCAGTTTTTCACCATTGAGGATGATGTTTGCTTTGGATTTATCATAACTTTGGCTTTTATTATGTTGAGGTATGTTCCTTCTATGTGGAAGGCAGATTCTTAACCACTGGACCGCTAGGGAAGTCCCAAAAGTAGAATGTTTTAAACAAATTTTAAATATTGAAATGAAAAAGAAATGAATGAGGCAAGAGTGGTAACATTTTGAGTCTAGGTGTTGGGTCCATGGATATCACATTTTCTCCACTTTTACATTTAGAAATTTTCTTAACATGAAAACAGAGAAAAGTAAGAGCAGCAGAGGAGAAGGCAGTACTGGAGGCAGGTGGCATCACGCAGAGTCACAGGACCCCATGGCGAGGGCGAGCCTGTTGGGGTGAGATGCCTTCTGGACCCCGAGCAGAGATGGCAGACACGTCGTCGGGTCTACAGATGTGGACTCAGAAAGGAAGCTACAGAGTAGCTACAGTAGTAGATGTAGACACTGGGCTACAGAGAGGTGGTGGTGGAGAGTCAGCCACGTGGAGGAGGCATTTAAAGCCTCAGGTCTGGATGTCCTGGAGAAGTGACTGTAGATCTAGGAAGGGAGACAGCTGAGAACTGGGCTCAGCACTCTGGAGTCCAGATCCTGAGAAGCAAAGGGTCCAATCACAGGGACTGTCAGGCCCCCTCTGCAACCCACTAAGGTGTCTGAGTGATGGAAAGGCTCTCTGGTGCATGGGAGCTGTTGGCCACATCCCCTGCCATGAGGGGTCAGGTGAGACCAGGCCTGGATGGTGACTGGTGGGTCTTGCCTTGTGGAGGTTGTGTAACAAGAAGCGGTGAGCTCCCTGAGTGACTTTAGCAAATCTGAACATTTTGCTGTTAGTCATTTAAAATCTTTCTATTTAAAACATGCAGTAAAACAGTAAACATATAGTGACTTCATCCCTGAGACCATTGCCCCAGCAGAGCTGTCTCAAAGTCAAGAAAAAGTAAAACATGTTGTCAGTTATCCAGCGTTTCTAACAAAAAGGCCTGTGTGTGTCTCATTCCCCTTTCCTGTGTGCAGGCACCTCGTTTGGAAGCCCTCACCATTCTTGGGTCTCTGGTCTGCTTTCCGAACACCTACCGCGAGATTCCCCTTCGGCAGCCAGTGCCTGAAGTTGCTGAAGTCGCCACGGGAGCAGAAGATGTCAAGGTACGTGATGCCATGACAGAATCTCAGGTTAGCATCTTCTCACTCGAGCTATGTGGTTCTGTGGTTCCCTCTTCCGTTATTAAGCTCTGTGCTGCTCATCCCTGAAAGTTTTGCTCAGTCGTTTAGATGTATCAGTAGTTTTTTTTTAGAACACTAGTTTTGTGAGATTAAATGAGCTAGGTGCAGAGTGTGCTGCAGTTGTAACTGATGGTTAGGTTCTGTGGGTATTTTTTTCTTAGATCTGTTTATCATCCCTGTGGATCATAATTTTGTAATGAACCATTCTTTGTAATAATTTTATTAGTTTAATTAGGCTGCATTTGTGCATCAAATGAATTTATAAGAAATAATTGAAATATTCAATCCCATTATTGGCCTAATTAAATACTACTAATATTTGAAGTTCTAAATTATTCCTTGGAGAATAAAGCTGATTTTTTTCCTCAGCTGACTTTGGGGCAATCAAAGATAGTTTTCAAATCAATCAATCAATTTGTGTATCTATAGTATACATGAATAATATGTAATTCCGTGTACAGTATATAATCCAGGTAAAAAGAAAACTGAGATTTTTTTTCCCCTATGCGTGTGTGCATGCTCAGTCACTTTAGCCATGTCCAACTTTTTGCAACCCCTTGAACTACAGCCTGCTGGGCTCCTCTGTCCATGGGATTCTCCAGGCTAGAATACTGGAGTGGGTTGCCATGTCCTCCTCCAGGGGATCTTCCCGACCCAGGGATCGAACCTGGATCTCTTGCACTGCAGGCAGAATCTTCACCACTGAGCCCCTGGGGAAGCCCAGGAAGAATCATTTGCTCTGCTCGGTTTTCATCGCGCACACAGAGACGCTCTTGTCTAGTGGGCTTCTGAGACCACCATGCTGCTTCCCCAGGCCCCCTGTGTCCTTCCCCAGGTTTCCCTGACTGGGGGCTCTGCCCCCTCAGTCCTTCAGTGGCCCCAGACTGCCTTAAAACCCGGACAGAACACACGGGAAGTCAACTACTAAGCAAGGTTTTTATTTTCCTTCATTTTGTGTTTTTAGCACTACCTCATAAGTATTTTACTGAAGAATGCCACGGAGGAACCAAGTGAGTGTGCAAGGTAAATGTTACATGAAAGGTGAACGCGTTCAGAATTTTAAGATACACAGTCACGTGCACTCAGTGTTAAAAAAATACTGTCTTTTCACTTTACTTTTAGACTAAGAAGTGCAGTACGAATTATGTGGGGGGAATCATTTATTACTTTTTTTAAGAGATGCCATTATTAAGTGAAAAGTGTAAAGTACAGAAGATTATGCCACCTGCTGTGTAATAAAAAGCAAGATTGTGAATATGTGGGTGTATTCCCTGATATTTTTAACATGGAAGAAAACGGAAAGATAAACCAAAGCTTATAAAAACAATGTGTGTATAGGGTAGTGATTCTTACTCGGCAGTGGTTTTGTACCCCAGGAGACATTCAGCAACATCATTCACCAACATCATTCACCATCTGCTTGCCGATGATGCTGAATTTATTTCCCTGGCTCCTCCTTCTCGCCCCTTATATATTCAGGTTTATGTATGAAACTGCCTGCTTGAACTTCAGTATGGATGTCCCAACACATCTAAACTGAACACAACCATAACTAAAGCCTTGAGTCTTCTGTCTTCACCACACCTCACCTCACTGTCTCAGGCTTCATCTCACTATCATCTGCCCAGAAGCTTGGGAAAATCCTTGATTTCTCCTTTACCTGCTACATTCAAACCTTCATCAAGTCTTGACAATACCATCTTTCCCTCTTTTCCTTTAGTATAGAAAGGCAAATTTTTGTTAAGCTAGCTGTGGAATAGAAATGTGAATAATATGGTCAGTCTTTCTTCAATTCAGTTCAGTTGCTCAGTCATGTCCTGCTCTGCAGCCCCATGGACTACAGCACGCTAGACTTCCCTGCCTATCACCAACTCCCAGAGCTTACTCAAACTCATGTCCATTGAGTTGGTAATGCCATCCAACCATCTCATCTTCTATTGTCCCCTTCTCCTCCTGCCTTCAATCTTTCCCAGCATCAGGGTCTTTTCCAATGAGTCAGTTCTTCATGTCAGCTTCAGTGTCGGTCTTTCCAATGAATGTTCAGGACTGATTTCCTTTAGGATTGACTGGCTGGATCTCCTTGCAGTCCAAGGGACTCTCAAGAGTCTTCTCCAACACCACAGTTCAAAAACATCAATTCTTCGGTGCTCAGCTTTCTTTATAGTCCAACTCTCACATCCATACATGACCACTAGAAAAACCATAGTCTTGACTAGACAGACCTTTGTTGGCAAAGTAGTGTCTCTGCTTTTTAACATGCTGTCTAGGTTGGTCATAGCTTGTTTTCCAAGGAGCAAGCCTCTTTTAATTTCATGGCTACAGTCACCATCTGCAGTGATTTTGGGGCCCCCCAAAATAAAGTCTCTCACTATAGCCATTGTTTCCCGATCTATCTGCCATGAAGTGATGGGACTGGATGCTATGATCTTAGTTTTCTGAATGTTGAGCTTTAAGCCAACTTTTTCACTATTCTCTTTGACTTTAATCAAGAGGCTCTTTATTCTTCTTCACTTTCTGCCATGAGGGTATTGTCATCTGCATATCTGAAGTTATTGATATTTCTCCCAGCAATCTTGATTCCAGCTTGTGCTTCATCCAGCCTGGCATTTCAATTGATCTACTCTGCATGTAAATTAAATGAGCAGGATGATAATATACAGCCTTGACGTACTCCTTTCCCCATTTGGAACCAGTCTGCTGTTCCATGTCTGGTTCTAATTGTTGCTTCCTGATCTGCATACAGATTTCTCAGAAGGCAGGTCAGGTGGTCTGGTATTCCCATCTCTTGAAGAATTTTCCACAGTTTGTTGTGATTCACACAGTCAAAGGTTTTGGTAGAGTCAATAAAGCAGAAGTAGATGTTTTTCTGTAACTCTCTTGCTGTTTCGATGATCTGATGGATGTTGACAATTTGATTTCTGGTTCCTCTGCCTTTTCTAAACCCAGCTTGAACATCTGGAAGTTCATGGTTCTTATACTGTTGAAGCCTGGCTTGGAGAATTTTGAGCATTGCTTTGCTAGCATGTGATATGAGTACAATTGTGCAGTAGTTTAAACATTCTTTGGCGTTGCTTTTCTTTGGGATTGAAATGAAAACTGACCTTTTCCAGTCCTGTGGCCACTGCTGAGTTTTCCAAATTTGCTGACATATTGAGTGCAGCACTTTCACAGCATCATCTTTTAGGATTTGAAATAGCTCAACTGGAATTCTTTCACCTCCACTAGCTTTGTTTGTAGTGATGCTTCCTAAGGCCCACTTGACTTCACATTCCAGGATGTCTGGTTCTAGGTGACTGATCACACCATCATGGTTATCTGGGTCATGAAGATCTTTTTTGTATAGTTCTTCTGTGTATTCTTGCCTCCTCTTTTTAATATCTTCTGCTTCTGTTAGGTCCATATCATTTCTGTCCTTTATTGTGCCCATCTTTGCATGAAATATTTCCTTGGTATCTCTAATTTTCTTGAAGAGATCTCTAGTCTTTCCCATTCTATTGTTTTCTTCTATTTCTTTCTATTGATCCCTGAAGAAGGCTTTCTTATCTCTCCTTGCTATTCTCTGGAACTCTGCATTCACATGGGTATATCTTTCCTTTTCTCCTTTGCCTTTTGCTTCTTTTCTTTTCTCAGCTATTTGTAAGGCCTCCTCAGACAACCATTTTGCCTTTTTGCATTTCTTTTTCTTGGGGATGGTCTTGATCACTGCCTCCTGTACAATGCCATGAACCTCCGTCCATAGTTCTTCAGGCACTCTATCAGATCTAATCCCTTCAATCTATTTCTCACTTTCACTGTATAATCATAAGGGATTTGATTTAGGTCAAACCTGAATGGTCTAATGGTTTTCTCTACTTTCTTCAATTTAAGTCTGAATTTGGCAATAAGCAGTTCATGATCTGAGCCATAGTCTGCTCCCAGTCTTGTTTTTGCTGACTGCATAGAGCTTCTCCATCTTTGGCTGCAAAGAATATAATCAGTCTGATTTCGGTGCTGGCCATCTGGTGATGTCCATGTGTAGAGTCTTCTCTTGTGTTGTTGGAAAAGGGTGTTTGCTATGACCAGTGTGTTCTGTTAGCAAAACTCTTGTTAGCCTTTGCCCTGCTTCATTTTGTACTCCAAGGCCAAATTTGCCTGTTACTTCAGGTATTTCTTGACTTACTACTTTTGCATTGTAGTCCCCTATAATGAAAAGGACATCTTTTTTGGGTGTTAGTTCTAGAAGATCTTGTAGGTCTTCATAGAACTATTCAACTTCAGCTTCTTCAGCATTACTGGTTGGGGCATATACTTGGATTACTGTGATGTTGAATGATTTACCTTGGAAATGAACAGAGATCATTCTGTTGTTTTTGAGATTGCATCCAAGTACTGCATTTCGGACTATTTTGTTGACTATTATGGCTACTCCATTTCTTCTAAGGGATTCTTGCCCACAGTAGTAGATATAACGGTCATCTGAGTTAAATTCACCCATTCCAGTCCATTTTAGTTCACTGATTCCTAAAATGTCAAAATTCACTCTTGCCATCTCCAGTCTTTCTTAGCTGTGTGTGAAAGGAGTTAGGCAGTGAAATTAAAGCCATATAAGTGTAGAGAAGGAAGCAGACTAAAATATGAGCAAGATTTCAAATAAACAGAGGAGAATTAAGAGGGAGTATAGTTGTAATTGTGGGTGATAATAATTCAGAAAAGTTAAGAAAAATAGTAAGGAGTTTCATTATATAAATTGGAATGGGATGAGATGGCATGACAGCAAAGAGTATTAAGAGAGTGTATAGGAATACAGATTGTGAGTAAGATGATACTGCCATTAGCTTAAAAAAAGTCTTAGTAGACAAAACTTCACAATCACAAAGGACATCCTCAGGATACAGAGAACATGAGGAGTCACTGTGAGTGTAAAAGAATAGGAAGATGCTAAATGGGGATATTAAATGATGGATCTCAAAGCAAGAGAAGATCAGAAAGAGCTGTTAAAAATGAGTGTGGCTTAGAACTCAAGGCAGGTGAGAGTCACTTAGGTTATAAAACCATTTTACGGGTCACTGTGTTCTCCATGGTGCAAGGCTAATAGTTACAGAGAAATGCAGGTGTTCCTAGAAATGAGAGATCTCTGCTCTTAGCAAATTACATTTAACAAGTAGGTTAATGGGTCATAAAAAAAAAAAAGAATACACACACACACACAAATATAGGTACACACATGCATGCAAAGGAAGAACAGCTCTTAAAATGGTCAAAATATGGTGTGGGGCATAATTCCAAGTTGTACAGATTGTAGGGAGTTGAACAATCAGAGTCTAAGTTAGGCTGAGGGAAGATAAAGAGGCTTGGGGTAGAATGTAGAATACCTGGGGAAGCCTGAAAAGTGAGATGCAAAGTACAGTTTCTAGACTGAGAATAGGTGTAGGAATTAGGCAAGAGGAGAAAGAGATGTTATAGACAGTAGACAGTTCTAGATAGTTTGGAGAGTGTGGAGCTCCTGTCTAATACTGGCACCTGAGAAACAAGAAAGGCCCAGCACACACCTTGTAACCAGTGGAAAAGCACAGCTTTTACCCGGTGGTAGAAGGTGACATGTTTGTCAAAGGGTATTTTAATTCATTTGTTCTGAAGCACTTAGTCCATTCTGATCAGAAGAGGTGAGAAGCTAGTGAAGTGCAGTGGTTTTAAAACCTCAAAAGAGATGGATTTTAATTGCCGAATTATTTTGAGCACAAAGGAGCACTCAGTATGCAGGGCCAGGCACTGTGTCCGATTTGATTGGCACTGGGTGTGGCCTCTTACTACAGAGAGCAGCATACACACATTACAGCAAGCTTCTGGTTCCAAGTAGAGGTTTGGAGCCCCTTTTTGTTCAGAAAGTGAGCAGGTTGGGGAGGGGGTGGTTGGCGCATGCATTTAAATTTCATATCTGTGCCTTCAGGAAACATTAGGGGAATATGACTTTTTGATCATTGTAAAAGATAGTAGGGCTTATCAGTTCCAAAGAGAATCATTGCCCAATCTTGTTTATAATTGAGAAAGGTCATTTTTGAAAGACTATGCAACTTGAAGAATATAATGTCTTAACACATTGTTTAAAAGAAGTAACAGTGAAACTTAACTTTGAAAGTTGTTCTCAGGTATTCTTTACAATGAAATACAGGATTTGTCTCCAGTTTGTGGTAGGTGTTGTGTATTTTATTGTAAGGAAAGCAATTATAAACTCAATTTCTGACAGTTTTCTAAGATCCATGTTTTTGATTCTTCCTCAAAAATATCCTGAAACAATAAAATGTGATACAAAAATTAGTTTCAGCAAAAATAAGTGATACATGTGCTGTGACAATTCGCAGAAAATACGCCATGTCTTTCATTAAGTATTTAATTACTAACCAGAAAACCAGTCTGTTGAGGGTACCTTATGTTTTTTCTCAAGAAGACCTTTTGTTAAAGTAGCTACAACTTTTGTGACTTTGTAAACAAGGTTTAAAATATCTTGTCATTCGTCATTTTTATGCCGCCAACATTAATTACTGAGAAATCTTAGCGAAAATAGAGACCATTTCATCACCTAGAAGCTATGTTGACTATGTGTTGAGTGGATGAGCTGTGCAGACCTACATTCAAGAGAGATTCTGTTGTGAAATTTTTATGTTTTCCTGTTCAATAGCTTCTTGTTCTTTTGGTGTAATCATAAAAAGTGTCTTTCACTGTTACTTGTTAGAACTTTCTTGTAGACATTAGACCTCTCAAAATTTTGTATTATATTAATTGTGAAGTGCAACTATCAATCTCCTAGACTTGCTGGTGAATTGTCTTACAAAATAGCAGTCAGGGGAAACTCCCTGACAGTCCAGTGATTAGGGTTCCTCACTTTTGCAAGCCTCTCAGTGTGCTCCCCTCCAAAACAAAACAAAACACCACTTGGTCTTGGATCTATACCTCAGCCACATAAGTTTCTGGATTTTGTTGTTTGCCAGAAAGGTGTGTAGTTTTATTTGCTCTTGCCAAAAAATGATTCATATAATCACTAATAAAGCATATGTCTTAAAAAAAAAAATAAAAAAAATAAAAATAAAATATCTTGTCATTGACAAATACCAAGAAAATGCATCTCTTCACAAGGGTTTTCTTCCTTTTCCGTCTTTTCCAAAAGGTGCATTGCCATCTGCTCCCTCGGGATCTGGATCTGTGAGGAACTGGCCCAGGGCACGAGCCACCCTCAGCTGCAAGAGGCCGTCAACGTCATTGGTGTCACTTTGAAGGTACTGCCAGTTCATCGTGTGTATTTGACATCGAGTGTCTCAGATAGTCAACCTATTATAGGTTGAATTAGCACCATCCCTATTGCCCCCTATGTTACAGAGGGTTTTGATGCAAAAATTCTTTCTCTGAAAGCCACATGGAACGTTCTCTGAGGGTCCCGGGCAGGCCTGCCAATGGCTGCTTCCTCCGGGGTGGTGCCTTCTGGCCATCCACCGCCTGAGCTTCGGGGCAACTGGCCCAGGGCCGGCACCCGTGACCAGTGCTGATGAGAGGGTCAAGGATGTATTTCATCCCCACGTCCCGCCGCTCTCCGCCTGCTGGCGACACCATCCGCCTCGAAGGCCCCGTAGCCTTAGTGCCTGGCATCCTGGGCCCACCGCCTGGAAGGAAACTGTCCCACTTGTCCCTGCTCAGCTCAGCAGACCACCCCCTGGCGGCTTCTCTCTGCTGTCCGCCCCCCATCTCTCACACCTCTCTGCCCTCTTAGCTTGTCTTGTCTGCTGTGTCCCTTACTTCACCATCGTCACCTTGTCTGTCTCTGGCTGAGATGACACAGCCATGCCTGCCTCGTGTTTCTACTGTGTGACTTGCCCAGTGGGAGGCAACAGGACTGCCCCGGGGCCCACTCTCCCCACGTTCCGTTGTGCCCCCAGGCCCCCCCCTTGGTGCTGTGCATGGCATTAGGAATATGATGGAGAACAAGATGCAGGAAGATAAACACACAGAAGAACTAGCAAACACACAGAAAGGATTGGCTCTTAGCCCTTAAGGCTGTATAGAAGTTCCAGCAGGGGAGGAAGAGGAGACAGAAGAGCTGGAGGAGGTGGACTTGGCGGCCTCGTGGAGAGATGCCATCTCTGGCTGTGACCTGCAGGGCATGGCAGCACCTGCCGAATGCAGACCTGGGGGCTGAGTGTCCTGGACAGAGCAAGGAGCAGGTGCAAAGGCCCTGGGGCAGAAATAAGCCAGAGTATCTGAGGAGTGGACAGAGGCTGTGAGGGTCAGGTGGTGGGAGGCCTGGGTGGCCAGAGGAGGCCATGGAGCCTGTTGGGGCCTGGTGCTCTCGACCAAGTTTCCTTCTGTCTGGCAGGAGAGGGCAGTCAGTACCTGTTGTGCAGAAGCTGAGCTGATCACCTTCCCCTTCTCATCCTGTGCTTCATCACTGACGTGCTTGACTTCTCTGGTTATTTCTGTGGCCCTCTGCTCAGCTGATATCTGCTTTGTGCAGCTGGGTGCTCCTGGCGTGGACGTAGCTGACAGGCAAATCCAAAGGTCTGCCTGGACAGGGCACAGATTTGGTGATGAACCTTTCTGCTGTGGCTCATGGGGTGTGGCTACAGTGCGGCCCAGGGTCTGACCAGGGAGGGAGCAGTAGGGGTCCTCGTACCTCCCATGCACCCCCAGTCCATGGGCCCTGCGGGAATTGCCCCTTCACTCTGCCATCTCCTGAGAGACTGAGATATCCAGAGAACTGTGGATACCTGCCAGACACAGAAAACAGACTCAATAATTGAATTTGCCATAACGTTGAATCATGTCCTCCTAGTTCCACATTTTTCACATTTCTTAGAATGCTATATGTGCAGGTTAAGTTTAATTTTATAAGATGGAAAGTCTTTTGATCAATCCTTGTTTCTCCAAGTGTAAAATGAAGATAACATCCACCTTACAGAGTTGTTAATGAAGAGTTATCAAGGTGAAAATGAGAAAAATTCTTGTAAGAGGTTCAGCACACCGGGGCTACTCAATAACATACTACATTTCAATTTCCTCCAGTCGTCAAAACTATCGTTTGTGTGATCTGGATAAGACAGTTGAATTTATGTTTTTAATTTCCAAATGATTAAACGTTTCTGCAGAACGTTATGTAGATTAACACAACTTGTGTAGGCAGAAGGCAGTTAACAGGGTGACCATGTACAAACTGGTGATAAGATACACTTTTCAGATATTTAATGCAGAACAAGGACGTGGGTCCCCAGAGGGAACTGAAGAGAGATCCTTGTGGTGTCCTTCTTTAGGAATACCGTACATGTGAAGTGAGGTTATTTAGTGTGGGTTTTTTTTTTTTTTTTCTTTTCTAGTTTCCTAACAAAATCGTGGCCCAGGTAGCCTGTGACGTGCTTCAGCTTCTAGTCTCCTACTGGGAAAAGCTTCAGATGTTTGAAACCTCCCTGCCTCGGAAGATTGCAGAAGTAAGTCTTTTTTTCTGCCGTAATGCTCAAACATCAGTGTTTCCTCTTTTTATTACATTTGATATTTAATGAATTCTAGATACTCCGATAATTGTTGGAGCACCGACTGTTAAACTGCCATGTGAGTCACCCATTTTCAGAGTAAATTACGCTGGCCCTTCTCAGCTGCGATTTCAGGCACCGAGTAAGAAGCCACCAGTGTTCCAGGGCAGGCTCACACTTGGGGAGTTTGAAAGGCAGACACGACCACAACAAAGAGACCTTTTGTCGACTGGGCTTCATTCATCCAGAGTAATTTGGATGGTGCCAACAAGGAGTAGGCAGCTGGTCGTGATGCCCTGTGTGCGGGGGCTGGGGGAGGGGGGCTTTCCCAGAGCGAAGGCCTGGGCTGTGCGTTCTGCCACCAGCATGATTGCCCAGCTGTAATGAGCTTACCACTGTCGTACCCTTGGGGTGGGGTGGGGGGAGTGGGTCATTGGTGGAGGAGAGGGGCAGAAGGAACAGGAAGAACGCCTTCAACGATGACACCCTGGAGGTCAGTGGCATGAGAAGGTGCTGTCTTGCAGGAAGTAGGTACCCTCACCCTGCAGGAGCTGGTGCTAAGGCTCGTCCCTTCTTTAAACAAGCCCTGGTTCCATACACACCCAGTGGAGAGAGAGGAAGTAAGATGATTCACTTTTCCTCAACCCTGAACAAATGTCACCCATGAGGTCACTTTGTTCTCTCAGATACATCAGAAATCACAGGTGATCTTCGACCTCAGGGGACCCAGAGTGAAACAGAGCTTTGGATTTTAGGAATGTGAGATGCTGCTATATGTAAAGTTGGGTTTTAGAACAACTGTGTAATTTATCACCTAAACGGGGGATGCCTTTGAGAATGAAATAGATGCTGCTGCCGTGGTTCAGCTGATAAAGAATCTGCCTGCAAGGCGAAAGACCTGGGTTCGATTCCTGGGTTGGAAAGATCCCCTGGAGAAGGGAAAGGCTACCCACTCCAGTATTCTGGCCTGGAGAATCCCATAGACTATACAGTCCATGGGATCACAAAGAGTTGGACACAACTGACCGACTTTCACTCACTCACCCCGGCACCGTAGGTCGTTGGAGACCTGGGGTGTGTTATAAGAAAAGTAATTGGGTGCATGTTCATAATTACCTTTGGAAGTATTTATTGCTTTCATCATGAGAAGGGTGGAGGCTGCTGCTGGAAATGGTGTGACCATAGACAGAACCACTCCTTCCTCCGGGCCCAGCAGAGGGGAGACAATCGCGGCCATCACCCTCTCCAGTTTTCAGGCCATGCAGATCACCGAGGTGACTCGGCCTATGTCACCTTCCTCCAGGAGCTGGCCCCCTGGCTGGGTGTGGTGGCAAGGCCATCCCGGACCTCTTACCTGGCGGCTCCCAGGACCGTACCGTGGTCTGTCTAATTGGGAATTTGTCTTCTCTGCAGATCCTTGTGGCCACAATCACTTTTCTGTTACCAAGTGCAGAGTACTCCTCGGTGGAGACAGACAAGAAGGTAAGTGGCCCATCCGCTAGGTTCTCCCCAGAATTCGTTTTTTTAAAGACATGACTCAGGTGGCAGATGCTGTCACACGCAGGGCTTTATAAGCCTCTCTCTGTGAAAGCCTCCCTCACTCCTGTGTCCCTGAAGAATGGCCGTGGTGCTGGAAGGTCTGTTTCCTGTAACAGCACACAGTGGTGGAGGCTGTAGGCTGAGGCTCTGGTCTGCTTCCTCCTCCAGTTCCTCGTGTCCCTGTTGCTCTGCCTTCTGGACTGGTGCATGGCGCTGCCGGCGGGCACCCTCCTCCACCCCGTGTCCACAGCGGCCCTGGATGAGCAGCCCCCGGCCCGGGCCCCCTTGCTGGATTACATCTACAGGGTGAGTGCCCCCGCCACCCTGGGCCTCGGGGTACAGGCTGCGGACTGGAGCCTCAGACGGTCCTCCAAACAAGTCGCTGTTGTTCAGTCGCTCAGTCATGTCTGACTCTTTGCAACCCCATGGACTGCAGCACACCAGGCTTCCCTGTCCTTCACCAACTCCTGGAGTTTGCTCAAACTCATGTCCATCGAGTTGGTGATGCCATCCTATCATCTCATTCTCTGTTGTCTGCTTCTCCTCCTGCCTTCAATCTTTCCTGGCATCAGGGTCTTTTCTAATGAGTCAGCTCTTCTTAGGCATTCCTGTGCCCTTTGGACAAGGATTTATGGGCGTTCAACATTTTAAAAGAAATGAAGGACTTGAGGAGTGTCCACAGACCAATTATAATTATAGAGAAGCCGTGATTACCCGGGGGGTCCCTGGTGGCTCAGACAGTAAAGAATCCGCCTGCATTGTGGGAGACCTGGATTCGATCCCTGGATTGGGAAGATTCCCTGGAGGAGGGTATGGCTACTCGGTCCAGTATTCTTGCCTGGAGAATCCCATGGACAGAGGAGCCTCGCGGGCTACAGTCCATAGGGTCGCAAAGAGTCAGACAGGACTGAAACGTCTTAGCAGACAGGCAGTGATTACCCCAGGCACGATGCAGGCATTTTACCTGTCAGCGTTAAATGAGCTCAGTTTGCTCAGACTCCCCCAGTGTTTATGGAACATGGTCCATACCTGCTTTGTTTTGAAAAGAATCTTTATTGTAGGAATATCTACAGCCTTAGTTGGCCAAAATCTCTTTATCAGAGGAGGAAAAAGTACAAGGATCCCAATCTTCTCTTTGCTTTCAAAGATCTTCAGAAATAAATTAAGGCAATACAGTATATTACATCAAATTAATCAGCATCATCATTTTTATAACACCTAAGACATTGGAATTTCACCTCCTACCACTGACTAAGTGTGTTTACTCTGGACCCTTAGTACTATCCTTCCAAACAGGCCTTACAGCTCTCCCTGTGGAAGCCTTATCTATCCATCTGTCTATTGTATTCATCCATCTATTACTTGTGTGTCCATTGAATAGGGCTCCCCAGGTGGTGCTAATGGTAAAGAACTCGCCTGCCAAAGCAGGGGACCTAAGAGACACAGGTTCAATCCCTGGGTCAGAAAGATCCCCTGGAGCGGGGTATGGCAACCCACTCCAGTATTCTTTGCCTGGAGAATCCCTTGGACAGAGGAGCCTGGCGTGCCGTAGTCCATGGGGTCACAAAGAGTCGGACACACCTGAAATGACTTAGCACGCATGCACACAAACCATTGAATAATTAGTGTGAGGTAGGGGCAATTTCTTTGCTTATTTTTGTAGTAATAAAACTTTAAAATAATTTTTAAAAAAATTTCTAGGCATTTCCCTGGCAGTCCAGTGGTTAAGACTTTGCCTGTCAATGTAGGGGGTGCAGGTTCAATCCCTGTTCTGGGGAGCTAAGATGTCTTCTGCCTTAGGGGCCAAAAAACCAGACAAATCCATAAAACAGAAGCAATATAACAAATTCAATAAAGACTTTTTTTTTTAATGGCTCACATCAAAAAATGAAAAAGATTTAAGTCATTAATGGATTGCTTTATTGCCTTATTTTTTTTTCCATTTATTTTTATTAGTTGGAGGCTAATTACTTTACAATATTGTAGTGGTTTTTGCCATACATTAACATGAATCAGCCATGGATTTACATGTATTCCCCATCCCGATCCCCCCTCCCACCTCCCTCCCCACCCGATCCCTCTGGTTGCCTTATTTTAAAATGCATTCAGTTAAAACCGAAAAAGCCACTTAACCATGGTTGAAATTCTACTGAAAAAGTACTTTGTCCTTTTAAATGGTTTCTTGAACGGTCAAAGATTTTAGTAACTATGTTCAGATGAAGCAGTTATTTCTGACGTCACTGTGACTTATAAACCTAGACGAGGCTTGGCTTAAGCCACTAAAGTAGCTGCAATCATTTAAATTCATGTCTAGCATTTCTTTTCTTAAAACGTCTCTCTTAAAATTGCTTCACCAACATAAAAATCACTTTATAGTTAACGCGATACATAAATTTACTGGATAATCCTTTATTTATTTATTTTTTTAAGGAAACTTTTTCCACTAAAGTATCCTATGCGTCCAAAAAAACTGCATCCATCAATCCTAAGTGAATTTTGGGAGTTTCACCAAGTGGACACGCCTGTGAAATGGGCTCCCAACTCTAGAAACGGAGCATCCTGGCATTCCAGGAGCCCCCACGTGTGTAGCCCCCACACAGACCCGGGCGTGACCACTGTCTTGTCACAGCAGACACTTGTTTTTGGCTATTGGACTTTATACTGTACAGAATCATCCAGTGCATCCTCTGGTTCGCATATGTATGCCTCTCTGTTGGATGTACACCTAGCGGTGGAGTTGCTGGAACATGTGTGTTGTGCATTAGAAGTGAACACACAGTAATTTTCCAGGGTGACTGTGCTGAGAACTGCAGCTGCTCCACACCCTGGCTGACACTTTGTCTCTTCTAGGGAGGCAGTGGTATCCTGTTGTGGTTTTATTAATCATTTATATTTCTTACATTTATGGCATTTGACTAATAGAAATTAGCTCTTTCGATGACAGAAGCTCAATGAGGGAGCTACCCTCATTTTCCTGTACTGCTCTTTCGCTAGGAAGAGGGCATATTTGGGTGGCTGTCCCCTGCTGTTCTTGGTCCTTTGTAACCATGGACGAAAGTTGCATTTATCGCCAGCCTCCTCCAGTCCCCAGGAGGCAGCACAATTGGAAGGAACTAAATCGAGACACATCCAGCCTGACCTCAGAGCTCGTCATCTAAATGCAGTCTTTCCTTAGTTTTTAAAATCATCACCTTCATCTTCTTAAAACTCAGTTTTTTACATTTATGATCAGAAAGGAAGCTTTAGTACAGTGATTAGCTCACCTACACACATTGACATCCTCAAGACGGTTGTGGGCACGGCGTCAGCTTCGGTCACTGGCAGTTTGTAAACAACCAGTGAGCTTTCAGGAAACTCGTCTTGAGAAAGTAAGGATTACTTTTAGAATTTGTGTTAGATTTACTTCATCAGTTATACCTTTTAAAAGGCGTATCAGATTGGCCCTTCCAAGTCCTTGTGCCATGAGTTACACGAATTCAGATCCAGGAACGTTTATGCACTAGGTCAGCGGTTTCTGCTGATGGTTTTCATTCTGATTGCCTCTGTGGGTGGTGGGGCACCCGTGGCCCATCGTGTGGCTCGTTGTCACCTCTCTGGTGCCTCCATGGACGGGAGCAGCACCAGGTGTGTGCAACCACATAGAGTGCCAAAAAGCACGCTTGCTGACTTTTGCTTTCCTTTTCCATCGATACAACAGGAGCGAGATAAGCATGTTCAGAGCAGGAAGGTGTTTTAGGACGGAAAGGATTTGATGCTCTCAGGAATTATCAGGCAGGAATCCTGCCTCCCAGGGGCTGCTGTCATTTGACAGCCCGTCAGCAGGCAGGCGGTGGGTGGCATTCCCAGCACACGCTCCCTCCTGTGCACGCAGGTTCTACACTGCTGCGTCTGTGGCTCAAGCACGTACAACCAGCAGAGCCGCTACACCTTGACCCTGGCGGACCTGTCGTCCCCGGATTACGACCCCTTCTTGCCGCTGGCGAACGTGAAGAATTCTGAGCCGGTCCAATTTCATTCATCAGCAGAACTGGGCAACCTGCTTACTGTTGAAGAGGGTAAGGCTCTTCAGGCTATTCATTGCTGTGGGCAGCAGAAGGGAAAATGGTAGCCGTTTGTGAGTACTCGCTGGGTTATTTTCTAAGAAGCTAGTGGTTGCAATCTGGGTTTCTGCAGTGCTCTGTGATATCAAATCCTTCGTCCCTCATTTCTTCTTTCTCTGTCCTCCCCTTTCTTCTCCCATCTGAGTTGAGTTTTATAGGCTTGAGGACCTGTGGGAGGCACAAATCCCCACACACAGTCCACTTTCTGTCCCCAAGGAGTTTTTCATCTCATGGGGAGATAGGATTCAGGCAGAAGGACTCACTGTGTGTGGCCTGGGAGTCCTATAGGGGTTTCCCATGGGGAAGCACCTAAGTCAGACTTGGGAGGAAGGAGCTGCCTTTGTGGGGAACTGGTATAGAGGGACCAGCTGGGCGTCACCAAGAGCAATGGAGGCAGGACGGTTCTACTCCCAGCAGAGGGCCTGTCGTAGATGTGGGTGAGGTCAGGACGTAGGCTGTGCATGTCCACCTCCACCACGCTTCTCCCCAAAATGACGGGAACCCATCTCTACGCCTTGGGATATAGTCAGAATGTGGGGGGTGTCATCTGTATGTGTGATAATATTGCATAGAATCGCATACACACACACACACACAATTGAGTGCCTGTGAAACTAGTGAACTCTGAACAGTGATGCATGGTCTTGGTGATGACCATGCTGATATTGTCCTGTTGCCGCTCAAGATGTTTACCATTCGGGTGAAGGATGTTTGAAATTTCTCTGTGTTATTTCTTACAAGTGAAGGTGAATCTTCAGTTGTCTCAAAAAGTAAAAGTTAAAAAAAAAAATGTGGATATAGAGCGTTAGATCATCCATGATAATTTTATGGACCTTGCAAGGTAAAAACCTAGGGCTGAGAACGAACCTTGAAGGTAAAAACATCCCCCAAGAAAAAAGAGTGAGGGCAGAGTGGGGGAAATGGACAAAGATCCATTCAGTGTCATTAATTCATCATTTATAACCAAACTGTTTCTAGTCAGATAATGTTTCTGATAAGCAATGTTATATTTTTGTCTATCATTTTTAAATGATTCTTTCATAGACCATTACCCACATTTGATGTAAGGACTACTTTCAAAGTTACAAGTGAGAGATCCAGCCACCTGTAGCCGAAGTGGCTGTTGGCTCAGCTCGAAGAGGACCCATCAGTAGTACAACCCCTTCTCACTCTTCTCATCTTTAATACCTAATTGCTTAAAAAGAAGAGAAGGGAGGAGCTTTAAAAAAAGAAAGAAAGTTAAAGGACAATCTGAAATTACTGCTTTTATATTTCCTCTCTAAATTTAGAAAAATGAAATAAATATATGGAATATGATTTTGCATAGCCTGCAGAAGTCACAAGCTTGTTTCTTCATTAATGGGGTCTAGATTTCCTCTTGATTTTTCTGGGCAGCCCTGATGTAGGTGAAGTCTGCCAGGGAGAAACAGTTTTTATTCCACAAATATTCTCTTTTCTTACTTTTTGGTACCAAAGATATTTGGGGTATGTCATTGTTTATGATGTGTAATGTTACTCCAGGTTAATTTCCCCTTGCAGAATTCAAGCATGTTCATTAAATTACAGATCCGTATTTATCTCAGATTATAAGTATGACCTATGTAAGTAGAAGTAGAGAGGGTTGCTTTTCCAGTTGTTTTCTGCTGTGGGCCTGGTTCCAGTCGGACCTTTCTTGTTAGTGTCGAAGCCTGTGCTTCTGTGTCATCATCATGCAGTGTCTTACGTTATGGACTCCTGAGCCCCCAGCTGGCTGCAGCTCTGCTGTAGAGGCATTAACATTTCTGATGGGGTGTGTATTCATATGGGATGATAAGCATGAATAAAAAGCATCTGTAACTTTTGAAAAAGTTAATATGTACACAAAAGCAGAGGCATTCATCACTGTGATTCTAAGGGAATGAGTCAAGGTGTTTTAAATTTCTCAGCTGTATGGAAATTGTCCACACATCAGAGGGTCTGGAAGAAACGTTTCATCTCAGAGACACATGCAGATGACCTCCTCTGCTTCTAAGAAACCTGGGGTTTTAAATGAAATTTTATTTTGCATTGTTGAATACAGGTGATTTCTTCTCCACCCCCCCAAAAAATTAAGAAGTTCAACAGAAGTTAGGATGATCTCAGTCATCATGCACAGTTTTCCTAGATGCTAGGATTTTATTGTTTCTAGGATTTTTACTTCATAAAATTGATGTTTTATAAATAAGTCAATTAGATTTCTAATGTCTAAGGGGGGAATGTTTAGCACATGAAAGCATATTTGTACTTAGTGATAACTTTTAATATTTGGTTTTTCATGTCGTGAATTTAAAAACCAAGTATTTCTTAAGTATTTATTAAGCCTTTAAGCCCAAATTAGAAAACTTGGTTTATTTAAATATCTAGTGATTTTTTTTTAATTAAAAGTTTTCATTTTGGCCTGTTCTTAGATTGACACACAGTTCTTTTGTAAACATGGTGGATTAAGATTTCTGTAGCTGCTTTGAGGCCTCAGTAATGGTTTCAGCCCTTACTTGTGAATTTTGCCTGCTTCCCCATCATATCGCAAGCATTTCACACAGCCCCCTTGATTGCTATTGTCAAAGTCCTTCTATACATCTGAAGTCTTAAACATTTTATAAATTAGTTGCTCCTGGGCATTTAATCAACTACAAATTCAGTGAAAGCTTTCTAAGTAATTCCATGAATTATTAATATATCAGATTCTGTTAAATATTTAAAATGCCCTAACAACAAAACATAAATAGTCACAATAATCCTAAAGCAAATTGCTTCAAATATATGTAAGCCATCCTGGACTTGATTCATCCCCTTATCGGTGTCTCCCTTTACCCAACAAAGGGAGCGAGGCCACCTCCCCAGCCCTGGTCCCCAGCCTCCCAAGCCGCCCTGCTCTCCAAGGGCAGATGTCTACCTCCCTGAGCTCTTAGGCCTGTCAGTGCTAAAGGATCTGTCTCTGGTTTACAGCTATACCTGCACATTTTTAAATGTCCCTTTCAGAATGAGACCTTCCTATAAATTGGTTCTTTTAGCCATCTATTTAAATTGTGCTTGTAAATTAAAACAGAATGAATGTCCAAAGAAGAAAACAGGTGGAAAAAAAGAAAAAATTCCCCAGACTTTAAAAAAAAAAAAAAAAGCTTCCTCCTTGCTGGGGACAGGTCGCGGTCCGGTGGTGGCCCCTTCTCACCTTCCTTCTCTGCTGTGACCCCGTGTCCCTATCTCGCTGTCAGCAGAGAGGAGGAGAAGGAGCCTGGGGCTGATCCCGCTGACCGCGCGCATGGTGATGGCGCATCTGGTCAACCACCTGGGCCACTTCCCGCTCTGCGGGGGCCCCGCTGTGCTGCATAGCCTGGTGGGCGAGCACCACGACAACGCGCACGCCGACGCCGCCGAGCTCTCCCCAGACGTGTTCAGGAGCCCCAGCCTGCAGCTGTTTGTGTTCAACGACAGCACCCTCATCTCCTACCTGCAGACGCCTGCGACGGGTCCTGCCAGCGGGTTGCCGGCGGGCGCCCCCTCGGACGTGAGAGTGATCGTGAGGGACATCTCAGGGAAGTACTCGTGGGACGGGAAGGTGCTCTACGGACCCCTGGAAGGCCGCTTAGTCCCCAAGGGCAGAAGCCCCTCATTCCTCATCTCGGGCTGGCATCCCCCAACCCCTGGACCTCAGAGGGCTCCTTCTCAGACTGATGAGGGAGAGGATGTCCTCGACAAATTACTTGAAAACCTTGGCCACACGAGTCCTGAATGCCTTTTGCCATCCCAGCTCCGTCTGAATGAGCCTTCCCCACCCCCTTGTGGCATGAACTGGGACCAGGAGAAGGAGATCACCAAGGTCTTGCTGCGCCAGAGCACACAGGAAGACGAATACGTCCAGAGGTGCGACTCGGACGTGGCCATGAGGGTCGCCAGCCAGGAGCCGCCATCCCCGGTGGAGCCCCGGGGAGCCTTCTACTTCTGTAGGCTGCTGTTGGATGACTTGGGAATGAATTCTTGGGATAGAAGGTAACAACCCTCCCTAGACCTTCAGTTGTGGCTTTGTGTGTGTGCGACTGTTCTTCTCAGTTTGGGGTTTGGGAAAAAGAGAGCAGAATTGGAGAATCTCCGAAATGGAGATTTTTCTCTATTTCAGCGTTAATAACTGGAGGAGGGCATGCCTACCCACTCCAGTATTCTCGCCTGGAGAATCCCATGGACAGAAGAGCCTGGTGGGTTACAGGCCATAGGGTCACGAAGAGTCAGATATGACTGAAGCAACTTAGCATACACATGCAGCTTATTTTCTGCTCCTAAAAGTGAAAGTCACTCAGTCATGTCTGACGCTTTGCGATCCCATCGACTATACAGTCCATGGAATTCTCCAGGCCAGAATACTGCAGTGGGTAGCCTCTCCTTTCTCCAGCAGATATTCCCAACCCAGGAATTGAACCAGGGTCTCCTGCATTGCAGGCACATTCTTTACCAGCTGAGCTACCAGGGAAGACCCTAAATTAAAACTAAAAACAAAACTAACTGTGCTCTACTGATGCACAGATTGAATTCCAAACATCTTTTATGTATTTTAAGGGGTATCAAGCATTTACTCTGGGTGTGTGTTTTAATTACTACTCTGCCCATTGTTGCTTCTGCCTTCATGAAAGAGGCCAGTGGACTACAGAGATGAATAAGCCACAGTTTCTCCCTAGCTCTGGTGAGGGAGGAAGACTTGCTATGACTGATAAAAGACAGTGTGACTCAGGATCTCAGGAAGGACAGCCAATCTATCGGGAAGTGAGGAACAGTAGAGGAGACTGTGGATGGGGTGGGTTTGAGCTGCAGAGGTGAGAAAAGAGTCTCATGACAGAGGTGACAGTGGTAATAACAGGATAGGCACACACATCAGTCACACACTCAGTGACCACAGCCAGCTGGTGTCCCCAGACAGTCTCGGAAGGCAAGTGCAATTATGATGCCTTTGAACATCTTCAGAATGAAGTTCCTTCTCTAGGCTTCAGCTGCAAATCTTTGGTGAATGGAGTGGTTGCGGAGGGGTGGATGGATGGATGGATGAATGAATAGGTAGGTTTGTACATTGACTGATTGGGAAGGGCAAAATTGATCTGTGATTACACGACTTTTCTCTTATCCCTTTTTCTTTATAGGAAGAACTTCCATCTGTTGAAGAAAAATTCAAAATTATTGAGAGAGCTAAAAAATCTGGACTCCCGACAGTGGTAGGTGAAAGTGTATCAAACCTCCTTATTCCTGTCTGTCTTTGTGTGTGCTGGCGGGGAGGGGTGCCAGATAAGATGGCAGGAGTGCCACCCCTGCCGGGACCTGGCGATTTATACCTTTGGCAGTTTTATCCTGAGGAGTAAACTTCCATGTTTGCTACATAAAGAAGAAGTCCTCTAATCTCTGCCTTTGATTAAGAACCTTTCAGCCAGTGGACGCTGATTCTCATCGTGTTTCTGCAGAGCCTCTGGTTCTGCTGAGGGGCAGACGCCAGTCCTCATCATTCAGCAGTGTGGCGTGGATCCTATGGACTCGGTTAAGGCCCGGGTGCTATAAGCAGGGGCTCCCCAACCCTGAGCCTCATTCTCTAAAGCAGGTCAGATCTCAGATGGACCTCTCTTCTGAACGATTTTAGAAGCAGTTCTGAAGATGAGCTCTGACCCGTGTTTGATCTGGAGAAACAAGGGCTTCCAAAAACATCTCAGCCTGGGGCCAGTGTCTTGGTGGGCACATAACAGGTGCTTGGAAGTCTTCAATAAACTGCTTCCTTAATCTTGAGTTTTTTAAAACTCACTTAAAAATTAAAACAGCTTTCTGTTCTTATTGTATTCCCTTCAGAAGCATCACTGGGCATCTCCTTAGAGAGAAAAACCTGCATTTGTTATTCCTCAGACTATCCTTCCCCACATTGTTTTCCAATGGTCATTGTACTGCTTTTTCTCCAGAGGAAGGAAGTTCTGGGGTGCGGGCGGTGGGGGTTGGGTGTTTCCTAAAGGGGCTTGAAGATTCACTGCCCCCTCCCTCCCACCATCCAGTAGGAAATGAGCAGTCACTTGGGTTCCAGACTCATCTTTTCCAGTGTAGGTTGAGTTCTTCCATGCTCCTTCCTATTGGTGTCTTGTGATTGTGGCCAGTTTGTTGAGTGTTAATGTACTTTAATTGCATAATGTACAATGGAAATAGCTCCCTGGGGGACTGTTCTTGATATCTTAAAAGTTATCCACTTATTTTACAGTAAGGATGTTTTCAGGGTTCTTTAAAAGAACAGAAATAAGCTGGGGGGCTTTTTAGCTTTGAGATCCCGTGTATTAGTCACTTAGCAAATAAGAACATATCTTGTCTCTCAGCTTCCGATCAGGATGTTTCTCTTAATTTCTGGTATCAATTTATCTCCCTGCTGTCAAGTCAAAGTTTCTGCTTAACCCATTCCTGGGAAAAGTATGGCTTCCCAGATAGCGCTAGTGGTAAAGAACCCGCCTGCCAATGCAGGAGACATGAGATGTGGATTCGATCCCTGGGTCAGGAAGATCCCCTGGAGGAGGGCATGGCAGCCCACTCCAGTATTGTTGCCTGGAGAATCCCATGGTCAGAGGAGTGTGGCGGGCTGCAGTCCTTGGCGTCTCAAAGAGTCGGACGCCAAGAAAGTAGAGACCACCTCACAACTAGGATTTGTATGCTGTGAAGCTGGCAAAGATGTAAATGGTATAGTGAACATAGGTACACATTCAAGAAAGCTCCCCCTTTCAATATTAATGCCTCTCCCCACCAAAAGATAAAGTAAAAGTAACAGTCATGTTTCTTTGGCTTTTTAATGTGACATCACAAGGAAACCAAGCTATTCTGGTCTAGTCCTAATAAGAAAAAAAAAACACAAACTTGAATTCTAGTGAGGAAGAGGAAACAGTTGATTTTCTGCCCATGTGCTCTGGACTACCTGCTCCTCTGTGCACTGGTCCCGCTGCTCCTGGACATGAAGTGCTGTCGATGTTGCTAATTATCATTTCAAAAGCCTGGCTCTAATAAGGCCAGACACAGGTCTGCATGGGCTCTCTGCAGTGCTAACATTTTGGAAGCTGTGAAATTTGATTCAAGGTCACCTGGGCTCACACCTCCATCCATCACGCAGTCACTCGGCATCTCTCTGCTCCACAAGGAGCTGATGAGGACCCATGACCCATAAGCAACTGCGAAGGAAAAAGCTTGGACTTTAAGGAGAGCAAACAAAAACATTTCAGATAAACCTGAGTTTGTTTTTTGTACGTCCAGTGTATAGAATAGAGAAAAATTAAATGCTGAGGATTTATCAATATGTAGATGGAGCTGCAGAGAAATGGACCGACTCTCCTTTGCTCTCCATTTGTTGAAAAAGACTGTCTTTTAGTTCGCGGCTTATGCCCTCCCTTACCGTCCAAGCCCCTACATGATTACAGATCTTGGAATCAACTTGTCTGAGTCCAGACTGCTGGCCAACCCTGCCTGTAGTTCAGGAGGAAATGATGTCACAATTTTGGGCCCCATGTGCTTGAGGACAAGCTTTCCAAGGTCTCTGCTGGAGTACCGCCCACTAGCATCCATCAGCACAGAATCCCCTCCCCACCCCCCACATCCATTCTCTGGAGAGCGGCACCCCCACGAACATGACAGAGCAAGGCTCCATCAGGATCTTCAGGACACCCACCTCCCCCACTGGCAGCATGACAGTTCACTTCAAAAGCCTTAAAAGTAGGCAGTGATCATAGTTCCACATCTATGAATTTATTTTAAGGACTGTCAAAGATGATGTGAAAACACCTTTCAAATGGATGTGACCCAGATGTCCAGTAGCAAGGATTTGGGATATGGAATAGTAGTAACATAATGGAATGGAATATTCAACAATCATCATTAATAACTTTGTTACACAAGCATATGGTGTAAAAGTGTTCACACTCCAAGACGGTGTAAATGATGATTTTTATGTTAAGCATATTTTACACAATTTTTTTTTAAGTGTTCACAGATATTTTAAGTGAAAAAAACAGTGGCAAAACACAAACTGATGACATCTCATTTTGTAGGCAAAAACACATCCTGAGATAGTAACCACTGTGATTTCAGCATATAAGCAAAGAACATGAGTGGGTTTTAAAAAATTCTTCTCTTTCCTTTCTGTATTTTCTAATTTTTCCTCTAAGTATGGTCATTAAATGTAAACTATGGGGGAAGCAGGAGGAATAAGCTATTAAGACAAATCCCTGGGTCAGGAAGATCCCCTGGAGGAGGGCATGGCAACCCACTCTGGTATTCTTGCCTGGAGAATCCCATGGACAGAGGAGTCTTATGGGCTACAGTCCATCAGAGTCTGATGGGTCGCAAAAAGTCGGACATGACTGAAGTGACTTAGCACACACACACAAGGAGATATTGAAGAATGCGTTAAAATACAGAGCCCAGATTCTATCACTGTCGAGTCTAATCAGATTATAATTTTGAGGTATTAAATGATTAGGCAGCAGAAGCATTTCCATGTTGTTTAAATGCTCAGTAGTTTTTCCAATAGATTTTTCCAGAGTATATGGTAGAAATCAGGAGAAAAGTGGAACTGCTCTGGAAATGGTAATCTGAAATCTAAAACATAGAGACTGGAATCCATGTCTTGGATGATGGAGCTGTGGTTCTTGGTTAAAGCTCTATTCCAGCAAAAGTGATGTCATCACCTCTAAACTGTGCCCACATCACTTGCTGTAGATCTAGTGACCTTGACACTGTACTCCAGTGTATAATTTATATTAATAGAAATGGCTATCGACATATTCCAATATATCATTGTTTCTCGGGTCAATTCAACAGAGATTTAGATGAGCAAATTCTACATGCCAAAGACCGTATCAGATGCACAAAAGTTGACCCAGAACTCCTTTCTTCAGAGTGTGTGTTGCATTTGCCTGATTCAACAGCAAAGTGTCCCAAATCTGTCATGGAGAAAGCGGACAAACAGTTTATACTTCCAAAGAAGTTTCCTTGGACAGCTGCCCAACCTCCCAGGCACCCTCAGATCAGTCAGAGCCCAGGATGGGTACAGCCCTTCACAAAGATGGTACCTAAGTGTGTCCTGCTTTGAAGAAGCAATTTTTATTTCTCAAGTAGTCTTGGCCTGTGTTACAATCCCAATTAGGGAGCTCCCCAGCTTCCTTATCTAAAGGTGTGGGAAGTGAAATATGCACGGTCATGTGGCTCTGTCCACCACTGATACCTATCTGAAAGTCTTGGTTTTTTTTTTTTCTCTTAACCAAAGCTAGAGAGAGTTTGTCAAACTGTGTGCTCTTACTTGCTGTTCACATATCACACTTCTAAGAGGTGGTCTCAGGAGCCAGACTGCCCTGCATTAGCTCCTGACCTCCCGTTTGCGGGGTCACGGGCTGTTCCTCCTTTCAATAGTCTCTACAAGGAGGTGGTGACAAGACCTGTCTTCTTAGGCCGCCTGCAAGGATAGACGAGATCGTGTGCTGAGGCTTCTTGGAACAGTGCCTGATCCTTTGTAAGTTCTTGGTAAACGTCAGCTGTATAGCAGATGTGTATGTGGCAGCAATATAACCAAATTTTATACCTGAGAATTCTAACTCCTTCCAACCTAAAAATTCACAGCCGCGAAACACACAAAATCGCAGTGTTTTACATTGCCGAAGGTCAAGAAGACAAGTGTTCAATCCTTTCCAATGAAAGGGGAAGCCAAGCATATGAAGACTTTGTTGCTGGACTTGGATGGGAGGTAATTCATTTCATCTAGGAGGTGTTTGCCCATCAGCATTATCTAAGGATGTATGTAAGCTAGATGTTGATGGTATATGTTTTTACATTCATATATAGCTTGGATAGAGTTCTGGAGTTGAGGGGTGTATAGAATTTGACCTCTTGTGTTAGTTTTTTTTTTCATACTTTATACATAAACTTTTATTCCCCCTTAACTTTCCTTTTAATATTATTTCATTTGCTTTTTATGTGAACTGAGTAGTCAGATTGGCTCTCCCAACTGTAGACAGTGTGTAGTAAGAGAAGACAGACAGGGGCAGAGAAGCAATGACTTTGGTCCCCGTATGGAAATTGGAGAAGAAATCAATGACTCAGGGGTGAAAAATGAAGAGTTGGATGAAGTCAAAAGTTGACTTGACAGTAGATGTGATGGTTTTGCTATCAATTTGTTTTCTTCAAGTAGGGCCCAGGGTGGTTGATTTTTTTTTTTCTTTTTTTTTTTTTTAATTAGTTGGAGGCTAATTACTTCACAATATTGTAGTGGTTTTTGTCATACATTGACATGAATCAGCCATGGATATACATGTATTCCCCATCCCGATCCCCCCTCCCACCTCCCTCTCCACCCGATCCCTCTGGGTCTTCCCAGTGCACCAGGTCTGAGTACTTGTCTCATGCATCCAACCTGGGCTGGTGATCTGTTTCACCCTAGATAATATGCATGTTTTGATGCTGTTCTCTTGAAACATCCCACCCTCGCCTTCTCCCACAGAGTCCAAAAGTCTGTTCTATACATCTGTGTCTCTTTTTCTGTTTTGCATATAGGGTTATTGTTACCATCTTTCTAAATTCCATATATATGTGTTAGTATACTGTAATGGTCTTTATCTTTCTGGCTTACTTCACTCTGTATAATGGGCTCCAGTTTCATCCATCTCATTAGAACTGATTCAAATGAATTCTTTTTAATGGCTGAGTAATATTCCATGGTGTATATGTACCACAGCTTCCTTATCCATTCATCTGCTGATGGGCATCTAGGTTGCTTCCGTGTCCTGGTTATGATAAACAGTGCTGTGATGAACATTGGGGTGCACGTGTCTCTTTCAGATCTGGTTTCCTCGGTGTGTATGCCCAGAAGTGGGATTGCTGGGTCATATGGCAGTTCTATTTCCAGTTTTTTAAGAAATCTCCACACTGTTTTCCATAGCGGCTGCACTAGTTTGCATTCCCACCAACAGTGTAAGAGGGTTCCCTTTTCTCCACACCCTCTCCAGCATTTATTGCTTGTAGACTTTTGGATAGCAGCCATCCTGACTGGCGTGTAATGGTACCTCATTGTGGTTTTGATTTGCATTTCTCTGATAATGAGTGATGTTGAGCATCTTTTCATGTGTTTTTTAGCCATCTGTATGTCTTCCTTGGAGAAATGTCTGTTTAGTTCTTTGGCCCATTTTTTGATTGGGTTATTTATTTTTTATTTTTCTGGAATTGAGCTGGAGGAGTTGCTTGTATATTTTTGAGATTAATCCTTTGTCTGTTGCTTCGTTTGCTATTATTTTCTCCCAATCTGAGGGCTGTCTTTTCACCTTGCTTATAGTTTCCTTTGTTGTGCAAAAGCTTTTAAGTTTCATTAGGTCCCATTTGTTTATTTTTGCTTTTGTTTCTAATATTCTGGGATGTGGGTCATAGAGGATCCTGCTGTGATTTATGTCGGAGAGTGTTTTGCCTATGTTCTCCTCTAGGAGTTTTATAGTTTCTGGTCTTACATTTAGATCTTTAATCCATTTTGAGTTTATTTTTGTGTATGGTGTTAGAACGTGTTCTAGTTTCATTCTTTTACAAGTGGTTGACCAGTTTTCCCAACACCACTTGTTGAAGAGTTTGTCTTTTTTCCATTGTATATCCTTGCCTCCTTTGTCAAAGATAAGGTGACCATAGGTTCGTGGATTTATCCCTGGGCTTTCTATTCTGTTCCATTGATCTATATTTCTGTCTTTGTGCCAGTACCACACTGTCTTGATGACTGTGGCTTTGTAATAGAGCCTGAAGTCAGGCAGGTTGATTCCTCCAGTTCCATTCTTCTTTCTCAAGATTACTTTGGCTATTCGAGGTTTTTTGTATTTCCATACAAATTGTGAAATTATTTGTTCTAGTTCTGTGAAAAATACCGTTGGTAGCTTGATAGGGATTGCATTGACTCTATAGATGTCTTTGGGTAGTATAGCCATTTTGACAATATTGATTCTTCCAATCCATGAACACAGTATATTTCTCCATCTGTTTGTGTCCTCTTTGATTTCTTTCATCAGTGATTTATAGTTTTCTATGTATAAGTCTTTTGTTTCTTTAGGTAGATATACTCCTCTAAGTATTTTATTCTTTTTGTTGCAATGGTGAATGGTATTGTTTCCTTAATTTCTCTTTCTGTTTTCTCATTGTTAGTGTATAGGAATGCAAGAGATTTCTGTGTGTTAATTTTATATCCTGCAACTTTACTATATTCATTGATGAACTCTAGTAATTTTCTGGTAGAGTCTTTAGGGTTTTCTATGTAGAGGATCATGTTATCTGCAAACAGAGAGAGTTTCACTTCTTCTTTTCCTATCTGGATTCCTTTTACTTCTTTTTCTGCCCTGATTGCTGTGGCCAACACTTCCAAAATTTTGTTTCTTCTTGGCTAAATAATATTCTGACAGAAAGATATCCATACATTTATATACACACACGCACACACATATATATGTCTCCAAAACATATTCTAAAAGAATCCAGAATAGTTAAAATACAAATTAACATATATGGAATAATTTTCTTACTTTTCATTACTTTTGTTTTGGTTTCTTGATCATCTGTGCTGTGGGTAGCTCTCTGGGTGCCTAAGTGAGATTTACCTCTGAGAGCTGAGCATTTAGCAAAGGGACCGATACGGAGATGAAGATAGGACAAGAGCACATCAATTTTAGTCTGAAATAGTTATTACACTTTCAGTAAATTGTTCGTCTTACTAATAAAATGAATTCCTATTTGTCATGGAATACATGTAGTATTTAACTCACATTTCTAAACTATGCATTTCTTAACTAGCATTTTAAGAAAAGACTAGAAGATTAATTCAATGCATATATTGATTGTCTCTGGCACAGAAGAAGTTCTTTTGTTTCTTTTTTTTTTTTTTCAGTTGTTTTACCACAGGTGCTTTACTGAAGGAATAGCAGTTTATGAAAAGTAAAAACAAAATACTGAAAGATAATCTAAACTGACTAAGAAGAGAACATTCTTACCTTAGCCTGAAAAAGAATTATGAGTCAGAGATTTTGGGCAGCTGTATAAATTGGAACAACCCTTTTGAAAGGCAGTTTAGGAGTGGCTATTAAATTTGGGAACATTTGTACCCTTTGACCTGAAAGACTGCTTTGAATGCTCCTTCTGGTTTGACCACACCAGGACTGTTGGAGAAAGCAGAAATGCCACAGATCCATCAACAAGGGAGCTCTGTGCATGTCTCTACATACAGACATATTTATGTGTTGGGGGGAATAAAGTTGAAGAAATATGCATCAAACCTTTGCTAGTGTTTTTTTTTAAGTAGGTATGATTTTGGAGCCCTTTCATTGTTAATTTTTTATCTTTAAAAAAATATCTTATTGGTGTATACTTGATTTATAATGTTGTGTTAGCTTCAGATGTACAGCCCAGTGAATTAGTGGCTTCTCAGGTGCCGCTAGTTGTAAAGAACCCGCCTGCCAGTGCAGGAGACGTTAAGAGACACGGGTTCGATCCCTGGGTTGGAAAGATCTCCTGGAGAAGGACATGGCAACCCACTCCAGTATTGTTGCCTGGAGAATCCCATGGACAGAGGAGTCTGGAGGGCTACAGTCCATGGGGTCGCAAAGGGTTGGTCATGACTGAAGTAACTTAGCATGCATGCATGCGCATACACATATCCACTCTTTTTAGATTCTTTTCCCATATAGGTCATTACAGACTATTGAGTTAATGTTTATTTAATATTTAATTTCATCTCACTTTGTATTAAAATTGTTTATAAGCAGAAAGTTATAAAAATGAAAATACTTGGATTAAAAAAAATAATAAACAAACACATTCCCGCTTAGTGAATAAGAACAGCTCCTGTTTGGTCCTCACTCTTTTCCCTTGTGTCCTGCATCAGGTGGACCTGTCAACCCACTGCGGGTTCATGGGCGGGCTTCAGCGCAATGGCAGCACGGGCCAGACCGCCCCCTACTACGCTACCTCGACCGTGGAAGTCATCTTCCACGTCTCAACTCGGATGCCGTCAGACTCAGACGACTCGCTCACCAAAAAGGTAAGGAGCCTCCTGGGGGGTCATGCTTGGCTGTCCTGGGACAGAGCAAAGTCCGTGATGTGTCACATACATGGAGACTGGCTTCCTCTGGGGTCACTCTCCTCAAGCTACCGTTGTCATTAATCTGAAATATCATGCTTGGCACAAACTAGATAAAGATAGCCAGAAAATTGGTCAGTCATACAAGTCTTAAATCCTGAGATGAAGATGAAGGAAGCGTCTTTGATGTTGTTAGCTTTGGATCTTCTCTCCCATGACTGTTAACTGAGAGAAAGTTACACTGTTGACCTCTCAGGCTGGCCAAGGTCATCTGACGTAAGGACCCTCTACGGCTGGGGTTGGAGAAGGCTGGCGCCCCCCAGGGCTGCCAGAGGGGGTCACTTGGCAGACCATCTGCAAAACGGCTAGTGCACGTGGCCTGCTGCCCATGGCCCCACCTCCTGTTCTCCATCAGCATGGAGCCTGCGGGCAGTTTTCTCTCAAGTTCAGGGGAGACCTCCATCCTCCACCTGGAAGTCAGCATTCCAGGGCCCTGTGTGCGTTCTAACCTGCAGGCTGAACACCTCAGCTGACCAGCAGGAAGTGAGGGGGCCCCTAAGAGAAGAGGACATTTTACTCTGGGGAGGAAGCCTGGAAATCTGACCTATGTCTGTGTTTCCAGATTAGAACAATTGGGCCTCACATGCTGGTGCCAGGGGCTGAGCCCGGAACCCCCTCTTGACAGCCCTGTCTTCCAACAAGGATCCCAGGAACTGAGGCAGCCCCTGGAGGGTGGAAAGCAGACTATTCTGATGCTAAACCTGGCAGTTTGGTGCTATGTTAGGTGGCAGGGTTCAAGTGAGTAGCCAGTTCCTTCGTCAGCCAGTTCCCTCAGTTTTCCCGTCTATTACATGGAATTAAAAACACAGTTCATGTCCCAGGGTTGCTGGGCAGTGGGTGGACAACGCCTGCAAAATTGCTGAGCACCGATCTGGTACCCAGCAGCCCTCATCCTTGCCTGCTGGTTGGATAGACTCTTCCTCCTGGCCCGTTAGGTGGGTGATTGATACTGGCCTGCAGGCTTCCTTGTACCTGCCTCATTTCTCTTCTTTGTGGTTTTGCTCTTTCATCACTGCAGCCATGGCCATCCGGACCACAGACACAGTAGGTGGCTGTGTTCATGGGACCTCAGTGGTCAGGTTAGGGCATGATCAGACTCCTCCCACAGTGACCAGGGGACCTCAGTGGTCAGATCAGGTATGATCAGATTCCTCCCACAGTGACCAGGGGTCTCGGATGTGTAGAGCATGACTGACTTTCCCTCAGTGGCCACATGCTGTCTACTCAGGGCCTGGGGAGCTGCCTCCATGTCTTAGGTTTTGGTGGTGGTGGTATTCTTAGTGGAGGGGGCTCTGCCCACAGAGACGTGATCTCAGATTACCCAGACCCTAGGCAAGATTCTCAGGCATGCTCAGCCGCTAAGTCTGGTCCCCCATGGACTGTAGCCCACCAGGCTCCTCTGTCCATGGGATTCTCCAGGCAGGAATACTGGAATGGGTTGCCATGCCCTCCTCTGGGGGATCTTCCTGACCCAGGGATCAAACCCACATCCCCTGCTTGGCAGGCAGATTCTTTACCACTGAGCCACCTGGGAAGCCTCAGGCAAGACCCACACATCATTTTTTCATTACCATGTAAATTGCTGCTACTCTGCAAATGCGTCACCATAGTCTATGATTTTCTTTTTTATGACTGAAAACTGTTTTGTTACAAGATTGCTTTATATTTTAAACTTTTCAAAGAATTATTTCCTAAGAAGGATTTTTTTTTTTTTTTGAGAAGAGACAGTGTTTTCTTGATAAAAATACCCTGTTATAAATCCTATTCTGAGGCTTGGCTGGGCTGTAAGGTTCTCTACTGTAATCAGGCAAACGCAGCTGATCCCTTTTGCTGCTCCAAGATTTAGCATCGTTAGTGACAAACTCTATCAGGACGTCTCACAGCTCGACCAGAAATCAGTCACAAGAACAGCGGCCCCACAGTTCCTCGTCTCATTCCGACTGAATTGTCCCTAACAGCTTAAAAATGAGCTGCAGAATTCTAAAGTGATTCATGCTCTCCTCTGCCCCCGTCACGGGGCCACTTTTTCAACCCTGCAATCTGGTGGCAACCCCATACTGAACTCTTGATCCTTCACCGCAGAAATTCGTTAGCTCCAGCCCGATTAGATTTTTCACAGCTAATCTAACTGCTGTAGGGGTTTGCAGAGTGGGGACAGAGCTGTGCTATTGGATTTGTCCAATTCATTTGACTCCAGGACTATAATTGCACTTATGTCTTACAAGGCTTTTATAGCCCGAGGCTGGCCAGCGCATAAAAAACAAATTGGCAGTGTTACAGGACGAGTGGAGGGGATGAAAGGCCCACATTATCAGTCTCCAGGCAGCACTGCTCTGGCAGGAAGTTTCCTGGTTAATTTACAAATAAAACTTAGATTTTAGGATGGGCACACTGTCGGCAGAACAATGGGGATGTCAGGGCTGCCTGTTACTTAGTAAAAGTAGCAGCCGGGCCCACTGAGGAGCAGGAATTCTTCAATCAAACAGACGACTCCTTCTGGAGCCAGCTGGCGACGTAATGCAATTAGTCGGGAAAGGAGGTCAGCCCATTAGGTGTGTACCAGGGCCAGTGTCAGCAGTGGGCGCCGCCTGGCAGCGGCGGGCAGAGGGGCCCCGGCAGAGGGTCTGCACAGCCCTGTCAGGGTGAGAAGTGGCAGGACAGGCACTGATGTCTGAAGGCTCAAGCCCCGAGCGTTTGTCAAGCCTCTTCTGCAGTTGAAGCAGTAGCTGGCGTGAAGGAGGCTCGTGCAGACAACACACCACTCCCATCAACTTGACTCGTGGGCTCGAGTTTCTCCCTGGAGGGCCCGTCATTGGAATTCTCCAAAACTCATAGTAACATCTCTGTAATGGAACCCCCTTTAAACGGAGCAACACTTTGAAGCTTCTGGAGTACTCCTGGATGTTCTGAGGTGGTTGACAATCTGGCCGGGTGATTCTTACATGTTCTTCCTTCCTTCATGTTCTCATCATGGATGGAAGAGGGTGCGTCCTTGCTCTTCACACCCCATGTATCTGCAACTGGTTCCATGGCCTCAGCTCTGAATTCTGTGCGTTGGATAATTAACCTGTGACTTGTGCGGAGGTCTGAGGCAAGTGACAATGAAGGCCTTTCAGATGGTGAACCTTGAGTCAGGACCACTTGGAGTGTTACCACACCAGACGCGTGGACCTGGTCCTGTGATCTCATCCTTCTTGGTCCATCCTGAGAATACAGTTGTAAACAGAATTGGGAGAAAATTCTTTTTTTTTTTTTTTGATGTGGACCATTTTTAAAGTCTTTATTTGTTACAATATTGCATCTGTTTTTTGTTTGTGTTGTTTTTTTTTTTTTTTTTGGCCATGGGGTATGTGGGATCTTCGTTTCCCAAGCAGGGATCAAACCTGCACCTCCTGCACTGGAAAGGGGGTGGCTTCACCACTGGACTGTCAGCGAAGTTCCGGGAGACTTCCATGGGTTATGTGATCAAGTTAGCTAATTTAGAAAAGGGAGGTTAACTGCAAAAATTTCAGTCCTCACTGTATCGCCTCTGAGCTGATGCCTTGCGACTCACGAGTCTGGACAGGGAGCTATCCCAGGTTCTAGGGTGCCGACCTTTGGTGGGACGGCCATGCAGGAAGGCTGTTCAGTGGATGTGTTGGTCCCGTTCAGAAGTGTGTGCCAGCCCTGCAGTGAGGGGGCACAAAACTACCCAGAAAGTTGTCTCTCTCTATGGGGTGAGCAGGGTAGATGTGTGCCCCCGGGCAGCCCCTGCCCCCGGTTACCTTCTCCTGCTCTAAATTCCTCCCGAAGTTTCCATCTGAGACCACTCTGATTTCCCTCAAAAACATACCTTCATTGTGCTGCTGGTGAGCCACTGCTATGTTTTGACTCCAAAAGACTGAATTTTAGGAGTGTGTCATAAACTCCTTGCATGTTTTATTGAAAGGGAAAAAGAAAGGAAAATGGATACCTAGAAGTAGAGAGATGCCTAGTGTTACTATGAAAACCCAGGGTCTTTTTTAAAAACTATTGATGCAAGGGATCAGTCTCAACTTTTGCCTGCTACCCTTCTAGTCTTTATATGTAAGAGAGGAGGAGAAGGAAAAACTTATTTTACGTTTAGCAAGTTGTGGATGTCATTGAATTTTTCCACACCCATCACACCTCATGTTCAACACCCACAGTAAAGTGTGTGTCCCAGAGCCCAGGTTCAGATGCAGCTGAATCAAGTGCCTCACGTGGGGGCCATCTGAGCTGGAACCTCACCTCACTGTAGCTACAAAGGTACAGTGGTCCCCAGAGGTGTGACAGAGGGAGGAAGAAGCAGACAGTGCAGGAAACCAGTCTCCCTTATGACCTCGTGAAGAGAAGGGAGGCCTACTGGGGCGACCTCGGGTTTTCCCCTTGTGGTCAGAGAGTCTATAAAGAAATTGCATTTATATCAGCATGTTTTAAATACACGGTATTTGAAAACATCCTTTTTTATACTGTAAGATAAAGTGCTTGCTTTGACCCGACATCTCTATTTTATTAAGAGCCTCTGAATTTAGTTCTTCTCGGGGCTCACCTGTTAAATAAGTTCGCAAGCAAGGCAGGCTTTGTCACGGGCATTGGCAGGTGTACGGGGGTGAGGATTCCCATTCTCAGTAGGCACCCGGGGGCCTCACCAGCCAGCCCCTGTGGGTTTAGGACTTCGATTTCAGCCAGCATTTTAGCTTTTATAATCGAGTTTGCTTAACTCAAACAGCCAGGCCTGCCCCCAGGAGCTCACCTGCACTTCTCCAGCCCCAGATATACAGTCACTGCACAGGACCTCCGGGGAGGGTGTTCTTGCATCGGACCAAACTGTGCCCTCACGGACGCTCAGAGGGTCCCTTCCTTGGAGGCACCGGAAGCCCTCCCCAGAAAGGGCAGGAGTCTCTGACTTGTTGACTTTGGACCGCATGGCCTCTTGTGAATAAATGGGAGGGCTGGGGAGTTGCGCTGTCACAGAGTTGTTGCCCTGGGGTGCAGCCTAGATGGCCGTGGGCAGTGGAGGTGCGTGGATCAGAAGCCCCTGCCCAGCTTCCACGCTGCTTCTGCACCTGTGGTGGGGGAGGCTCGCCTTCCTGAGCCCCCTCACCTCCTTATTAGACTACATAAAGGCGATCTCAGAGAGTTAGTGGAAAGATAGGACAAAATGTACGTGTGAACAGACTTCTCTGCAGTAAGGCACTCTTTCAATGCTCAGTGCTACTGCTTCGTAGCTACTGCTACTGTTTTTTATTAAATTTAAGTAACCCTAGTTTCTTAAACAAAGATAATGTTATATATACTTTTTCTTAAAGGTTTGTCCTAAATCTGGTTTTTATACATTTGGTAACGATTGTGTTATAATGGCTTCTGTTCTCTTATATGCATCTTTTTTTCTTAATCATCATCGAATTAAGAGCTTTATGAAGCTCTATTGTAATATGGAATAAAAGACTCATACTGTCCATTGTGTAGAAACACACTCAGCCACATAAAGCATCAGGCTTTGCTGCAGGAATAAAATTAAATTTTTAACAAATCCTGGAAAAGGTCCTGTCCCCATCCAGCCACATGTACCTGCGATGCTTACATGCCTCTCTTGGTTCCAATGTGTTTCATGGAAGGCGAGCTGTGTGGTTTTTTTTTTTTCCCCTATGCACTTGTGCTTTTTAAAAAATCCTCATAGAAGGCATCGGTGTTGTAGCCTTTTTCGGTGGTAAATTATTTTTGCCTCCGAGTATAATAATTCAATTTGTAAGCCACGACCCTTCATAAAGTGCTGTGATCACTCTGATTAATAAGGAGCCAATTTGCCGTTGCAGCTCCGTCACTTGGGGAATGACGAAGTCCACATCGTCTGGTCCGAGCACTCCAGGGACTACCGCAGCGGGATCATCCCCACCGCCTTCGGAGACGTTTCAATCATCATCTACCCCATGAAGAATCACATGTTCTTTATCGCGATAACCAAGAAACCTGAGGTATGTTTCCACTGCACTCTTATTGTGGCTTGTACAGCGATTTGCTTGATGGTTCCCTGTTACTGAAACACAGTGTTAATCGATATGTTAAAGGGGCCACTTGACACGTACATGAATTACACGTGCTGAACAGGAATTAAATATGAATTGGGGTTTTTCAAACACTCTTTCATCAGGAGCACAGAATTCTGTATTTTATTGCTGAGATTCTTTGAAAATTATATTGTAAAGATATATATGGTTTTTTAAATGTTTTTCATGTTTAAGATTTTATAATATAAAGAAAGGATTGAAAGTCTGGGGCATCTTGATGAATAGTAATAAGATCTGAATGAGCCCCATGTCACATGCAGCATTTTATGGGTGACTATGGGTAGAGGATCCAGCCTTGCCTGTGCCGCTGCTAATGGGGGTCAGTCCTGAAGGATCTTGGAAAAGTCCTAAAGAGCTGGGCCCCCCCGAGGTTCGCTCTATGTTGGGGCTCTAAAGATGGATGCATCTTCCCACCCAATCGGTTCAGCTGGGTATCCATCATGGGAACGGCCAGAACCATTTGGCATCGTGAGCGCAGGACCTAGATTGGCTTCCATTTCCACCCTTGTCCTGCCTTTAGTGGTGATTTAACAGTGCTTTGTACGGTGACTTGATTTTGTTTTGGAATTAATAATCCAAGGTGGGCTTCTTGGTCTTTTCAGTAAACCTTTAGTGTATTATCTCTCCTTCTCAAGAAAATGACACGTGCCTTGGCTTGATACAAAATACAACCTTCATTTCTGTTCCAAATTGTCCTCCTGCAGGAGCTGAAAGTTACCCTTCTAAATATACTCTTTTTCATCTTTAAAAATAATAGGCAAAACTTTCCTGGGATTTATAACCTAAAAGTGTTCAAGTTGTGAAGATTAAATGAGCTAAGAAATGAAAGGTGTTTAAATCAGTGCCTGGTCCAGAGGAAAAAGCTATTTAAGTGTTGATAATGATGATAATAATAATAGCTTTTATTATTATTGCTATTATTGTTTTTTGTTATAGTTACTACCATGAAAATAGAATAAATAATGACTGCGGGACAACTCCTAAACTCAGAAAAGTCCCCACTCTGGCTGGTGAGGAGCCTGACATAAAGAGAACCCTCTTTTCTTTTCAAGGAGCGAAGATGCCAAAGTTTTTCATGTTAAATATTTGTGTGATCTTTGGTCCAAGTCTCTGTGTGTGTGAAGTGTTCAATTTTGTGTAAGAAAATGGTTCTTGCTGCTAATAACATTTGCGTGTGTCCAAGAAGGACAGTAATTTAAAAAATTAAACTGCAAATTTTAATATTAGACAACTGATAAATTTAGTATCCTGTGGCTTTCCAAACTGGCAAATGTGTTTCTTTAATATTTAGTATGGATTAACTGGCTCTATTAGTTCATTTTCAACATAGCCCTCTAAAATGTCATTTAATGTCTTAAAAATGTCACCTTTATTTTTATAGCAAATTAAGAATATAAAAGGTATTTCAGTTCACTTTATAGTGTCAAAGTGATTTTTAAAAGGTATGATAGTGTATGAAAACAAATATTATCATACTTTTTAAAATTTCTTTTTAAAAATATGTAAGTTTTATATATTTGGCCATAAATTCTGACAAGATGAATCGAGCAAATTGCTTTCTTAATATTTCAGTTCAAAAGGCCTAAAGGAAAGAAGAGAATAATGGACAACTGGAAATTTAGTGCTATCCCCACATTTAAAGGACAAACCATTACAATGTAATAAAATTAATCCAGACATTTCCAGGGCAAGTGTGGCTGACCTTTTGTTCGCCAACCACTGACCTCAGGGTGAATGCGAGAGGCTTGTGGAGGGAAAGTCTGTTTGTTTGGCTTCGGTCCCTGGTATTTAAATTGCATTCCCTAATCAAATGAAAAGACTGTCCTCTCTATCAGGTTACCGAATCCATGGCAACATTTGGCCTTTTATATCCATAATGTTAGCCTTTTTGTTTGCATCTAAGTAGAGACACCTGGAGCAATGTTAACATTAACCGATTTAGCATTAATAGCTTCATTATATAAGAATTTCTGATCAGATAGCTGTTACTTTTGTTATATTGCTTCAGCTTGTATTGTTGTCATTTTTTATCTCCCTGCTTGGCAACCGGGCAATGATTTGCAAATTTTTTTTGTCTTGATTAATTAAGCAATATAATTATCAGTAACCACGATGCAGTCTTTGCTCAACAAAGCTTCTGAGAGAAAACAATGGTAAGTCTGTTAGTATGAATGCATTCCACGTGTCCCAGATGCATGAGGATATTACGGACAATGAGGGGAAAGGCCGCCTGGGAGCGGGGACAAAGGGTGTCAGGCAGGCCCGACACACTACACATACCGCCAGGGACGCTCTGCGGGCTCCCGGGGACACAGACGCCTCGTTAGATTACAGCTAGTCAGCAGAGATTAATTCTCAGCCATTTGGTGCAATAATTTACCCATTCCTCAGTCTTTTAACCAGCATGCCTTACCACGGAAGGGGAGGCTTTGTGCTCGAAAGGTTTATTTAACCTTCCCCACTTTTAGGGATTGCCACACAAAATCAATATTTTTGCTAAGAAATTGTCACGACACAGCTGCTCAAAGTTAAGAACGATCCTTCTCTGAAGGACAGGGACGTGTACAACTTTCCACAATGACCACATCGGAGCATCTGTGGAGGGCTTGTATCTTTCATCTGAACTTGGTGTGACTGTGTTCTGAGTACGCTATACTGGCCTCCGGGTAGCCATACTTCCCTAAGAATAATTTTAATCCTTTTTGTTTTTTTTTAGGAGGGAAAAAGAAAAAAGAAAAAAAAAAATCTCATCAGTACACAAAAGTCCTGCTCACTGGACAGAGTCATGCATATTCAAATTGTACTTTCATTCACTGGGCCTCATTAGTAGCCTGTGTAATAACGCGGGCTGTTTGTAATACAAGCTCACAGACAGCGCTGCTTCCAAGGCCTTTGAAATTGAACATATTTCGCTTTTTCATCCATACACCTCCCTTAAATATACAAATTATGTGCCTGGCAGAACCCGCCTTGCCTTCATAATACAGCCTCTACAAAACAGTAGGTTGCAGGAGCGTAGCTGTGCTCACGGGAGGCAGGGATCTGAGAAGGTCTACTCCCTTCTCAAGCTTTTCATCCAACTTAAAACATATAAATTTACCGAAAAATCAGTGTGCTTAGCAACATATTGGGTTGGCCAAATAGTTCACTCAGGTTTTTCCATACTGTGGACATCGCCTCTTTAGTCACAGCAAAGAAATATGCTATTGCCAGACTTGTGGTGTTTTGGGTTTTTTTTCTAAGTTGGTGGTCAGGGAAGACTTATGCCCTGGGCAGAAGGTGAGATTTACAGGGTTTGTTAAAACACCCAATTTGTCCTTCAGGAAAGTGATTCACAAAACCTCCATGCAGCAGGGGGGTACCCATGTTACTTTGTTTCTTCCAATAACTGGAAACAATGTGGGAACTCAGAACAATATGGGTGCTCATTTGCTTGTATGAATTTGTGAAGGTACGTTTTAGCATTTTTGCTATGTTTCTCTCCAGGGACCTTAGTGATTGGCTTGTGACTCTCTGACCAAAGGGTAGATGGGCTAAAGCAGCCTTGACCAGGAGCAGTTTAGGACAAGAGGAAGCTTTGAGGAAGGGCCCTTTTGGTCACCCCAAGCAGATTGTCCATTTTGTAAATGAAAACCACATTGGCGTCCTCCAGGATCTCCTTACTTGGCCCTGGTAGATACAGGCTTGGGACGAAAACATGATGATTCGATCGTTTCTGAAAAGCACAGGCAGGAGTGGGTAACAGGATAGGAGCTGGGACCCCAAAGTTCCAGTCCTTGTGCTTCCGCAGCAAGTGTGTCCTGGGCAGTCCCTCAACATCTTTGGACTTTAGCTTCCTCATTTGTAACACTGAGGTTGGGGAGCATCCATCTTCCATGGATTCTAAGCACCCCTTTTAAGAGGAGAGGCCCTTGTTGGAGCTTCCTGATCCTAGATGCCCATCCTTTCCCTAAGTTGCCCTGAGGCTACTGTTGTACTTTGTGGCTCTCCTGCAGGCTCAGCAGCTATTGTGAGTGTGTGTGTGTGTGTGTGTGTGTGTGTGTGTGTGTGTGTGTATGTGTTTCTCCAGGAAGACAGCTAACCCAGGACCTTCACTGGGATCAAGTTACGTACTCGGGATGCTGGTTAGGGCCCATGCACCAGAAGCCACAGGAGCATTTGCACATGTGAGATCCTGAGTAGCCAGTGCTGGCACCCGTTTTTGGAAGGAAATCTTTTCCTAGGGTGACTTTAATATAAAGGGGATGTGTTTGACTACAACATGGTTGTATAAATTTCTTCTTGTTTCAAATGTGAAGTTTGAATATTTCAAATATTTCTTAAACATTTATCTCAACCACAGCCAAATGTCCTTTTTGAGATTAAGTCATACATTTTCAAATACTTTGGAGACATTCCCAAGGAAGCTGAGTTGCTTATTTTTGAATATGTAAAGAATCATTTGTTTTGAAGAGATAATTAAAGACACTGGACAACTAGAATTCACTAAATATGTTATTAAATGGATAACTACAATATGTTCTGGTTTGGTAATTTATTATTATTATTGTTGTTGGGAGGTTTTTAGGTAGAGGAATGACATTGGGAACTTTGTGAAAAAGGCAGCTGTCATTTGCAGATGTTACATCAAAATCAGATTTCTTCTCTAGTTCATTGCCACTCCTAATTAGAGAATTCCCTGGATAGAAGGGATCTATATTATTCCTTTTGTCCAGTTTTGAAAGACTGTCTGAGTCACCCGAAAACTGCTGCCAAAGAATAATAAGGGACATTTATTTATAAGATAAAGTTCAGTACAGATGGAAGAAAAAACCTGTGGCCTATTATTAACTCCTAGCTCCTGTTTTATCTTGCACAACAATTTAGCTATTAAGAATTCCCTCTCAATTGATCTTCCCCAAAAGTTGCATTGTTTTCCCTTTTTTCAGCTGGTCTTTGATATTTACATCTTCCCACCTTTGTCTTCTTCTCTGTTGGCAAGAGTCAGCCTGTGTAAATGTGCCCCGAGCAGCCACTGGAAGAGCCTGCTGTGTGTCAGAAAGTGGGCAGTTTTCATCCTCCACCCCAGTTGACCTCAGCAGGAAGGGCCTTCCTCTCTGACCGCTCAGCATGCACCCGTGTGCCTCCCGAAGCTCCTGTGGTTGCATGGAGGTTGCATGTGGTCGCGTGTGGTTGCATGCACCCCCAGCTAAATCTGGGCAAGGCAGGCCGGGATACCAGGAGTGTGGAGAACATCTCCGTGAGCAGGACACAGACCCGCCGGCCCCAGGACTAGCCTTGTACTTTCTATGCTGCCCTTGAAGTTCATTAGTTGATTGTTTGTTATGGTTGCATTTTTATTGTTTAGCTAGCTTCATGATTTTTTTTTTTAATTACAGCTCCATCTCGCTGATTACTGGATTCTTTTTAAGGTTAGGGCTGGGACCTTATGACAGATCCGTAGAACACTTCTCCCCTGCACCTCATCACAACATCAGCTGGGCTTTTGTATAGTAATGGGAAGCATCCAAAAGAGCTGCACATCTGAGACCTTATCCGCGAAATCTCTAGGGATACCCAGACACAATAGGGAAGTCAAAAACAGAGGCATCCGAGCAAGTTTTAGAGTCTGATGCCTTCATCTATGGCTTCAGCAAACCATAAACACAGCAGTCATAAACACTGGCTAACTACTAGCCAGACGAACACCAAGTCTTATACTAACAGTCTATTTATTTCAGTTTCTTTTATCTGGCGTATCATGTAAATCAGTCTCAACAACAACAACAACAAAAATCACAAGGCATCCTAAAAGGCAAAAAAACAAAAAACCCGCAGTTTGAAGAGAGAAAACAAGCATCAAAAGCAGATTCAGATATGGCAAAGATTTTGAAATGATCAGATCAGGAATTTAAAAGAATATGCTAACAGCTCTAAAAGTGGACAACGTGCAAGAAGAGATGAGTAATGGAAGCGGAGAGATGCAAACTTCAGGAAAGAATTAAAAGGAAATGCTGGATACCAAAGACATGGTTGCAGAAATGAAGAATGCCTTTAATGGCTTAATCAGTGAATGGAATGAGTGAAGAAAGGAACTGAGAGCTTGAAAATATGTTAGTAGGAATATCAAAACTGAAATGCCAAGGGGGGAAAGGATTACAAAAACTGAATAGTGTTCAAGATCTGCAGGATAATTAAAAAGGGTGTGTGCATGCCTAGTTGCTCAATCGTGTCCAACTCTTTGCCACCCCCTGGACTGTAGCCCACCAGGCTCCTCTGTCCGTGGAATTTTCTAGGCAAGAATACTGGAGTGAGTTGCCATTTCCTATTCCAGGGAATCTTCCCAATCTAGGGATCGAACCCACATCTCTTGTGTCTCCTGCATTGGCAGGCAGATTGTTTACCACTAAGCCACCTGGAAAGCCCCTGGAAAGCCAGTTATGAAGGGTAATATACACCTAGTGGGAATACCAAAAGAGAAAGAGAAAGGACAGAAGAAATATTTGAAATGGTAACTTAAATACATTTTTATATTACATGTACTTTAGTGGCTCAGTTAGTAAAGACTCTGTCTGCAATGCAGAAGACCTGGGTTTGATCCCTGGGTTGGGAAGATCACCTAGAGAAGGGAATGGCATCCCACTCCAGTATTCTTGCCTGGAGAATTCCATGGGACAGAGAAGCCTGACGGGCTATAGTCCAGGGGATCACAAAGAATCGGACACGACTGAGTGACTTTCCCTTCACTTACAATATGTGAAAAATTTCCAAATTGATGACAGATACCAAACCACAGATCCAGGAAGCACAGACAGCACCAAGGAGGATAAGTATGAAAGCATCTACAGCCAGATGTATCACATTCAAACTACATGTTGTAGACAGAATGTTTGTATCCCTCAGACCCAAGAATTTATATTTTGAAATCTAACCACTAGTGTAATGGTATTTAGGGCTAGGGGTAAAGGTGATTAGGTCATAAGAGTGGGGCCCTTGGGAGTGGTATTGGTGGACTTTTGGAAGAGGACCTGAGAGCTTCCTTACCCCTTCCTGCATGTGAGGACAGAGACAAGACAGCCATCCATCTATTAGCCATCCAATTCAGACTTTCCAGCCTCAAGAATTGTGAGAAATAGATTTCTATTGTTTATAAGCCACCCAGTCTACGATACTTTGTTAAAGCAGCCCAAAGAGACAAAAGTCAAAAATAACGGGAAGATCTTAAAAGAAGCCAGAGGACAAAAATAAGTCTAGAGTCTCCAGCCTAGGAATTACATTGAACTTCTAGCCAGAAATCATGCAAGTTAGAAGCAAGTGGAGTAAAATATTTCAAGTGTTGAAAGAAAAAAAAGAAGAAAAATATCCACCAACATATAATTCTGTATTCTTCAGAAGTGAAAGAAGACATACTTTCTCAGACAAATAATAGCCAGGCAATTTGTAACCAGTAGACCTGCCTTATAAGAATGTTGCAATAAATTCATCAAAAAGAAGGAAAATGATATGGATCAGAAACACAGATCTAGTTTAGAAAGAAAGAGCTTTAGAGAGGAACAAATGAAATCTTTTTTTTTTTTTTGGAAATCTTTTATTTTTTATATTTATTTATTGATTGCACTGGGTCTTTGTTGCTACAAACAGGCTTTCTCTAATTGCAGTGAGTGAGGGCTATTCTCTAGTTATGGTATTTGGGCCTCTCATTGCAGTGGTTTCTCTCGAGCTGTTTCTCAGTAGCTGTGGCACGCGGGTTTAGTAAGGGAAGCCCTTGCTCATGTGCACATGCCCCCGAGAGGGCCTGGCCTATCTGTGCACCAGCGTCCCTGAGCCTGCAGTCCTATGAATAACCACAGAGGTCCCTGCTTTCCCTTTTGACCTCTCATTTTGACCCTTAGTTATTTCCAGTCTGGCACTTGATCCTCTAATTGTTCATGATAACTTTTCTTGATTGTTTTAGGTTTACCTGGGGGATGGGTATTCATGAAATGCCCTCAGATACGTCCGGTTTGTTCTCCCCAGTTTGTAGGCAGGATTCAGGGTGAAGCCAGTGGTATTCATAGTGGTACATCTCCAGGGACGGTCCCGTGCATCAGTGCTGAGGCAGTTCTGACTTCAGGGTAACGAGCCAGCTTCTTGGGGGGAATGTCACGGAAAAGCAACTCTCGCTGGTCCCCAATCCTGGCTGTCTCCCCACATGCCCTTTCCCCCACGTAGAGAAGCTTTCCTCTCCTGTCTTTCCTTCCTGACGTCTTACTCTAACATTATTTTGTAACTTCACAAAGTTCCTTTCACAGAGACTGTGATCATGGTTGCCATTACTCTTCACAGGCTTCCCCTCCCGTTTACCCCATCTTTTTGTAATGCTCTATCCCTGTCACCACCCCGAGTATACAAACATGCATCCTACCCTGTCTGACCTTGGGCATTTAGGTTCCTGATCACTTCATTGGCAAAGATCATCTCCAAGTTAGGCCAGCTGCGGCCAGACTCAGGCTTCCTCACTGTTGCTGAAACACACCGATTCCACCCCCACACAGGGCATCCTGTGTGCTGCTCTGCCTGGGATGCTGTCCTATCAGCAGTCCTCATGCACTGGAGGTCAGCCCTCCCTCCCTCAGTCCAATCCTCAGCTTCAGCCCCCTGGCCGTGTGACCTCTGACTGTAGGATTCTCCCCTAAAGAGTCCTATTGCTCTTCCCTGCCTTCTGCTTCACTTTAGCACTTTACTACCTGTGTGTGCATGCTAAGTTGCTTCAGTCATGTCTGACTCTTTGCAACCCCATGGACAGTAGCCCACCAGGCTCCTCTGTCCATGCTATTCTCCAGGCAAGAATATTGGAGTGGGTTGCCATACCCTCCTTCAGGGGATCTTCCTGATCCAGGGATGGAACCCATGTCACTTACATCTCCTGCATTGGCAGGTGGGTTCTTTTCCACTAGTGCCACCTGGGAAGCCCACTTTAATGCTTAACATATTACATATTTGAGGTCTTTATACTGTTTTTTTTCCTCCAAAACTTCCAATAAGTTCTAAGCTCAATGAAATCAGAAGTTTTTTTCTTTATATTCACTGCTGTGTCCCAAGTCAGTAGGAGAGTATCAGTCAGATAATAAATATTTTTTGAACAAATGAGTAAGTAAGTGATAAGAATAAATACAGGAGTTATAAGGAAGACCCTATTCTTGACTTTATGGAGCTGACAGTGTCCATAGTAGTGAATGGAGTTGACAAAAATCAAAAAGGAGAAAAAAAAAGTGAAAGAGAGAAAAAGAAATCCAAAAAAAGACAGGCACCAAAACCCTGGGTGGCACAGGTGTGAAGGAAAGCCCAGTCTCTATTAAAGAATTAGAAGGAAATGTGAATAATGTGATGTCTCTGAAATGGAGGGAAGACGGTTCAAGAAGGAGGACTTTGCAGTTGTTAGCCGAGACGGTGTCATCTCCTTTAAGAGTCAACATACATCGGGATCCATGTGAAAACATTGCTAATTCTAAAACTGGTTTCAGAAAGTTGCCAGCCTAGGGGTGTACCATGAGGCCTGCCTGTGGAGGGTATCCACATGGTGGAAACGCTCAGTAAGAGCAATATCGTTTCCACAAATGACAGCTCAAGAAAGAAAAGAAGCACATAGTCACAATCTGTCAGGAGAAGTTTAGCTGATGAGTTTGCAGGAGAGGAGTGTCGTGGCACAACCCTGCTTGGCTTGATTCGAAAGCCCTGGACCTAGGTCCCCTACATCCAGCGCCCAGCCTGTGAGTGGCAAGCCTGTGTGGTCCTGACAGATTCGATATATATCAAGCAGCTGTTCTCATGTCTTTGGTTCACCTTTTACTGTTTTTTTTTTTAACATACTAAGTGTTCTTCTGGTTTTGTTGTGTTTTGCATTGACAGGTTCCGTTTTTTGGGCCTCTGTTTGATGGAGCGATCGTGAGTGGGAAGCTACTGCCAAGCCTTATCTGTGCCACCTGCATCAACGCCAGCCGGGCCGTCAAGTGCCTCATCCCCCTCTACCAGAGTTTGTATCTTTTTTAAGTTAAGTGTGTAACATGTTAACCTTCCCAGCATCCAACTTCAGGCAAAGAGGTAAGTCTTAACAGCTGGGCAGAAGAGGGAGAAAGGATGTTTTTCAGTCTGCATTGAAGAAAGCAGAGTGTGATATTATACCATTTCTTATATCATATCATACCATACTTTTATGTTATATAATTTTGTGCCACATCTAACTTAGGGAGAGTTGATTTTCATAGTCAAGCCTCATACGTTTGTGCTGTGAACAGCACCCATGATGAGATGCTCATTTTCCTGGGGTGTTTCTCCCCAGGTTCATTCTCTTCCCCCTCCTCCTCCTTCCCTGTTTGCTACAGTCCGTTGCATGTAAGTTGGGGTGCTGAGAAGATGCAGTGGGGTCACTCCAAGCACCTGCCAGAAGCAGCCACGAAGGAAATGATGCTGATAAATCAGAGAACGTGGCAGGTGCCACTGGAGAAGCACAAATGGTATCCCAGGAGGTCAGGGGAAGGGGACGCTGTGTCTGCTTGGGAGGATAGGAAGGGCACCCTCGACCGAGAGTGCTTGAACTCACCAGTGACAGTGGCTAGAAATCCTTTTGTCGTTTTCCCAAATCCCGAATACCTCCTTCTCTCATTTCTGATCTTCTTTCTAAAAACAAAAGAAATTTCACTAGTGTGATTCTTTTTTTTTCCTCCAACATTTGTTGGCCTGCTATAATCTTTAAATTTAAATCTTAAATCTTTTGGAGCCAAGAACCATGAAAAGTAGCCATTTGACCAGGTTGGCGTTGGAGGTACAGCATATTTAAAGCTTTATTTTACCCTGATGATAAGAAAATTAAGGTGACTTCATAAAATTGCTTTGAAACACATCTGACCTAACACAACTCTGGATCTCTCTGTTTCTCATTAGTATTGATAATGATTATAAGCATATGTGTTTGACCTCTGTTTTTCTGCTCCTCCCAACCTTGCCATCAGTGACACGCTGCTGGAGGGTGGGTGGGGGCCAGGGGTGGGTGAGAAATACCACATGTGAGTAGATACAGTTCATGAAAAATACCTTTCATTAAAATCCTGGTCACTTCATTGACTGATATTCTGTCTTTAGATTAAGAAAAAAATACATATGCCATGTGGCAACTCGGAATTATCATAGAAATTAGTAGTAGAAAAGAGCTATTAGATCCCATCTGGTCCCTCCCCGGGGGGCTGGGGGGCATTATCCCCCTTGGCCTACCCCCTCCCGATTTGTCCGGCCCGGGGTGGTGTTTTGGAGCAGGCGTCCTGTAACAGGGACCTCCACCGCGCTCTGGACTTAATCTCACGGCTGGTGTGGATTCAGCCTTCTGCAGTGGAGTTTTTATTTCACAGGCTGTTAGAAAAAGGTTCTTGGCAGAAATGAGAAAGATCTTTTTAGCAATTGGCTTGTCAGGTTTGCATGATGAGCTGGACACTCATCAGTCAAGGACGCTGGGCCAAGGCAAGAAAAAGTCATTTGCAAACAGGAAAATTCCGTTTGCTAGAGGTCCATTGTGATTTTTGTCACGTCACCTTCTCCACTTATGGAGCTGCTCATTACAAAAGCCACGCTTTGTTGTGTTGTTGGACACTGCTTTCTCCAGTTGGAATTAATGCGGCTTCAGAATAATCAGGTTTAAGGGGAAACACTATTTTTAAAAGTTCAAAGGATAGGATTCAGCATCATTTCAAAAACTCTTCAAGCAGCCACACTGAACTGAAGTGGATGTGGGCTTAGGGCCACTGATGCTCACATGAATGAGGAAGTGCTCTTTCCCAAAATTGCTCATAAAATAGCTAGATGGACATCTCAGAGGATGGCTTAGTATGGAAGTTAGCAAAGAGAAAGTAATAAACTTATTATGTTAAAAAAAAAAAAACTTATTATGTTGATCGTCATAAAATGTTAAACATTTTTCTTTTGCCTTATACCTTGAGAAGACTTAATTAGTGCTATTCAAACAAATTATTTAAAACATTATCAGTAATCTTTATAGAGATATAATCAAAGGGGAAAGCTTTGCAATCACTTAACTACTCTATTATCTAATTTCTGCCTGCAAAAGAGGTAGTATTCAGGTCAAAAACCAAAGGTATAAGAAGAAGAAAAGTTAAGAAAAGTAGGAAAAAATAAGAGAAAAGAAAAATGGGGTGTTTATATTTTTTTTCTTTAAAAAATTACTAATTTTTAAATTTTTAAAATATTTATAGATGTCTGCCTAGGCTATTAATAATGAACTGCTCCTTTAACACTATGTTAAAGCATCTTGGCGCTCTCATTCATGTGCTTTAACAAAAATCTAACCTAGTTGCTGTCACCGCTAGTGTCTGGAATCCACTGCTTCACTTACATAAGCCTTAGGTTTGAAGTTTAAAAAACACCAAAATAACCAAACACATCTTAATCGTGAGTGTCTCCTTGCATCTGTTTATTTACCAGTCAGTCCCTGTGGGCTCGGAATCTGCCCAGCCCAGAGCTGGGGTTTGGGGTCCAGGGGACAGCAGGCAGGTATAGTCCTTGCCCCGTGCTGCCTGGAGGAGACAGGCAAACTAACCAAGTTCGAAGGCAGCCAGGGAGTGGGGCTGAGATGCCAGGGAGAGAGCCGTAGGCTGAACTGGAGGGTTGTGAGGGGCGCTGTGTCCCCAGGTGGCAGGACCAGGTCCTAGGCAGAGGACACCAGAGCAAAGAGAGGCATTCACAGTGTTCTCGAGTGGTCATCTGGGCTCTTTAGGATTGTATGCGTGGTCAAGTCCAGCGGGGTCCTGGTGACAGACACAGGAGTGAGCTTCCAGCAGGGATGGTCTTCTGAGTAGGACCAAGGAGCTGAGGGGATCCTAACTCTCTCACTTCACGGCCACCTTGGAGGTTCAGATCCTAGTACAGCATCAGGGTCGCCTGATGCCAGGGCAAGAGGTATCGGGGATGGGGGAGTGTCCACCACCCCCAGCCCCTCAAACCCTCCCAAGGGCTGGGAAGGTCATTAATGCCTTAGATATCCCTGAAACCCTGGATTGCTATATAACCCAGGTCCCAGTGCAGAATGAAAATGTGGGCCCCTTACTTAAAAAGCAGAGAACATGCCTTCAAAGAGGCTAAAATATAAAGCATTTTCCATTCTCTGGCAACTTTTCTCTAATTTGTCATGGTGTTTTTTAATTTGCTATTAAACATTATTTTAGATAAAGGAATATTAAAAATTTAGGTGATCAGCATTACTTTTTCATTCTTTATATTGTGCAGTGTCAGTTTCGTATGCAAAACATAAAAGCATCTAACTCAGGTATGGAACCACTGGAATTACCCAGTTCATATTTCATAACTTGTACATAGATGCCAGGACTGGAAACACTGCACAAAAGAAACTCACCTGGTTTTATTTCACTCTCCCTACGTTCTCCATTCACAAATGTGCTAAACTTACCTTCAGTTTACAGATGAGTCAGGACTGACAAGAAAAGGAACCATGGGCACCATTTTCCCCTTTCCCCTGTGTCATTTTTAGAGGAAATTGTTGCCTAACACAAGGAAGTAACACAACTCTGAACCAAGGGTTCCTTGGTGGTCTGTGTTTTTTAGGACCCCATAGGCTTGTTTCTCTCAGAGTGAGTTCTGGTTCAGATGGGGAGCCTGTCTTCCCCAGGGAGTCAACCCCCACCCCAGCTAGTGACCAGTACTCAACTCAGATATGTCCACTGGGATTCAGTTTGGGGTGATATTTAACCAAAAGTAGAAATATGGGCAGTTCTATATCAATTTTGTTCAGTAGTGTCCAAGAAGAAGGGCTTCCCTGGTAGCTGAGCTAGTAAAGAATCCACCTGCAATGCAGGAAACCCCGATTTGATTCTTGGGTGAGGAAGATCCCCTGGAGAAGGGATAGGCTACCCACTCCAGTATTCTTGGGCTTCCCTGATAGCTCAAACAGTAAAGAACCCACCTGCAATGCAGAAGACCTGGGTTTGATCCCTGGGTGGGGAAGATTCCCTGAAGGAGGGCATGGCCACCCACTCCAGTATCCTTGCCTGGAAAGAAAGGGGAGCCTGGAGGGCTGCCGTCAATGGGGTTGTAAAGAGTCTGCGTGACTGAGCACAGCACAGCATTCAAAAACACATAGCAGTCGTTACTAAACTGAGGACGGGGGCATTGTTGGAATGAAGTTGCCTTTTGGAGATCTTTTCTGAGCAATAAACCCAGCTTAGACTCACCATTAGAGGAGTTCCTGTCTGGGGTACCCTCAGCTAAGCGATCAAACAGTTGCAAGTGTGTTGAAGGCTCATAGGAGACTGAAAAATAGCACTGTCTTACAGGATTCCCCCAAAGAATGTGAACTCGGCAGGGATGTTTGGCAAAGCACCTTCGGTGACATCTCATCCTGGCCCCGCTGCCTCCTGGGTTTCTGGTCACTTTCTCCGTGGGCCTTTGTCCTGCAGCCACTGTCCTGCTGCCACTGTCCTGCTGAGAGATGTGGGCCAGCTCACCAGTCTCCTGCCTTTCCTGTCCACCATGGGTCATCAGGGGGCCCAGACCTGTGCCTGGAGGGCTGTGGACAGGGACCTGCCACGTGTCTTATTTACAGGTTCTGGGCCAGCTCGAGATTCCCAGACCAGACTGTGGTTGACTCGGGTTTCTGGAACTGTCAGGCCAGGGCTTCCCTGCGCCTGCTCAGAGAACTTGTGTTAAGAGAGGCTGCACACAGCAGGCAGTGGGCCTGCTAGGAGGGGGTCTCCCTGAACCACACAGACGGTGGCCTCTTAAAGTGCACATCCCACTCTGGGAGCACAGTGGTCTCAGTGGCATCCCCCGCCCTCCCCCCATGGCTCTGTCGGTTTTGTTGGGGGGCCTGTCGTGTTGGCCCCCACTCCTGCACCAGTGAAGTTTAGCATCATTTTCCATCAACAGGTAGACTTGATGATTTCAGAGCATCTCCTTTTAGACTGCTAACTTCTTCCTATCATTGCTCAGTTGTGTTTTCAATTGACACGTTTTCAGA